GACTCGCCATGTCCTCATGCAGTGTGTCCCCAGGGGACTCGCCATGTCCTCATACAGTGTGTCCCCAGGNGGGACTCGCCATGTCCTCATGCAGTGTGTCCCCAGGGGACTCGCCATGTCCTCATACAGTGTGTCCCCAGGTGACTCGCCATGTCATCATGCAGTATGTCCCCAGGTGACTCGCCATGTCATCATGCAGTGTGTCCCCAGGGGACTTGCCATGTCCTCGTACAGTGTGTCTGCGGATGTCTCGCGGAAGTTAGGGGCCGCTACATATATTAACCTTTCTGAGTATTATCCAGCACAAAGTCATCAGCCCACATTACAGCCTGTTTAATGTCAGATTATTCAGAGATGTCTTGGCTCAGGCAGATGTTTCTGGAGACACACTAAAGACTGAATGAATTATAATGTTTCCATCAGTCTTCTACAGTCTTGTTTGAATATATTACCCCAACGACAACCTAGAAAATAAATTAAGAATCATTATTAAAGACAACTGTTCGCTTTAGCACATTGTAGCTTGAGACCGAAATATTTTTGTCACTGGGAGTAAAGCCAAATTATGTTTCTGCGATGTACGATTAGCTTGAGTAGGTCTTACTTGAGTTTGAAAGATGCGTGTTTAGCTACCTGGTTATTGGCTGGCTTATTCCAGATAACAGCAGTGATATTTTGATCGACTTATTTCTTCCAGGGGGCAGAGACAGGCGTGGGGGTCCCGTTCTAACGTTTCCAGCAAGAAGCAACCACGACAGAATACGACAAGACGACCTGCGGAGCCTCATAGCGTACCTCGCTGGAATTCCCAGGTACGAAGTTGGTTTTTTACGCCTGACCAAAACAAAGACTCTGTGTCAATCTAGGCTTCGTATTCAGGGAAACATCTCAAGGCACACTTGAAGCCAATGTGTTCAGCTACGAAGGAGACTGTAACTTCATGATCGATGGTCATCATATTGGCCGAACGTCGCGGTATCCCCTGAGACATGATTTACATGGAGCATAGACCAGCGCCTGCATTGCAGGTGCAGTGTCGGTCCCTCTGCCTCTCCAAAGCTCATTAAAAAGTAGCAGCCCTGTGCCGTCCAGAATGTAGGTTATCCTCCTCTCTGGGGTCCTCTAGCTCTTCTGTTGCGGGTAGGGGTGGGGGCAGGGGCTGTCGGTTCTGGATGAAGAAAACTTGCAGCAGCTTCCAGTGCTGTGAAAAGTCCTTTCTTCCTTCATTCCCTTCTTCCTTCCTCTGCAGTAGGGAGACAGGGCCGGTACGTTCGCCCCTCAAGGAATTTGCCGATGTGCGGAGCTCTTTTTCGGGAGTCAAGTACTGCGTTCAGATTTGGTTGGAGGCAGACCAGAGGGGTTTCTGCCCCGGGGTAATTTGGACGAGGGAGGTTGCTGATTAAAGGCGCAGGGAGCAGTTATAAGAGATGGGGAGGAGCAGGAGGTGGGGCTCGGGAACGTAGGGCCTCGTATCGTGAGCAAGGCAGATGTTGGCAAGATCGAAAGCAGACGATGCCCCGCATTGAATCAGGGCAGCTCGAGGGAGCTGGTCCTCATTCGCTTTCTCTCTCTCTGTGTTCCCGTTTAGAGGACTAGCTCAGATCTCTCCCTATGCCACGGGTAAGTTTGCGTGAAGCATACAGGTTAAACAGCTGCTGCTTGTTTTCCCCGCGGTTTATCCCAGCGAGGAGGTTAGCAGACATGGCTTCACCGTCATCGTGGACATGCGGGGGTCCAAGTGGGACTCCATCAAGCCGCTGCTGAAGATCCTGCAGGAGTCCTTCCCCAGCTGCATCCACGTCGCTCTCATCATCAAGCCCGACAACTTCTGGCAGAAGCAACGGACTAATTTTGGCAGCTCAAAGTTCGAATTCGAGGTGAGTCCCGGCTGCTAACCCGTTAACACCTGCACGACTGTTAGAGACCTTCTGAGCAGATCTGCTTTTGTGTCACCATCGCACACACGCCTGCAAGATGGACAGAGAAGAAAACAGGCGTCACGACGTACCCCTTGGAGCATTATTGAGACATAGAGAAATCTCAGTGGTTTTTAAGTTTTCTTGGGCTGTGAAATTGCAGCATATGCTTCTCTGGATTCTAGGCTGAGGATGCGGCTCTGTGCGTTATAATTACTGCATGGTGGTGAAACGGGCCCCAGACATCTTTTCCTTTAAATCAGATAAAACAGCATCAAGTGCTTTAGCAGTCGGCAATTAAGGGAAGAACGTGTAGCGTGACCCGCTCCGCACAGGCGACGTGCCGTTTGTTTCCTTACTTGTTTTATTTTTTTTTAAATTGGTAGAATTTTGGAGTATAACATTTTCCATTTTCAGCTGCTCCTTATTCTCCAGGTTATGGATTTTTCCCCCTTTTTTATTGTATTCATAGTTCAATTCGTACTGGTTGCGAGTGGTGGAATGAGTTCAGTATATTATCTTCTGTAGCTAAGCAAGGATTTTTCATATGTCTCATTGCACCCTTTTATGTATCTGTTTTGAATTTATAGAGTATGCAAACATACTGTGTGTGTATGTGTGTGTGTGTGTGTGTGTGTGTGTGTTTGTGGATTAGGTAAAGGAAAATATATACATGCGCGTGTATGTTCATCCAGTATGTATCATGTATGTCAAACAAACATGAATGCTATTAACATATTCATACTCAGGAGTTTTATTTATTTTTTTCTGGTTATATCCAGATAAGGTGGCACAACAGCAGTCAACTTTTAAACTGAGAACATAAATCTATTTAGCATTATATTTTTGCACTTTTATTTACAGATGGCCCAGATTTCTGCTGTGCTGTGCCTGTCTTTTTCGCGACAGAAACATCTCCTCTTCACTAGCAATTTGAGCCTGTTTTCCGTAGTATTTCTGAGCATTGGCTTTCACCAGGATTAAATGTGATTAACCTCTGACCCCTCCCACCCCCTCTTCTCCAGACTACCATGGTGTCATTAGAGGGTCTCACAAAAGTTGTGGACCCCTCTCAGCTCACACCAGACTTCGAGGGCAGCCTGGATTACAACCACGAGGAGTGGATCGAGATCCGGGTCGCGTACGAGGACTTCGTCAGCAATGCGTCACATATGCTGGCCCGTCTGGACGAGCTCCAGGAGGTCCTCTCCAAGAAGGAGCTCCCACCGGACCTGGATGGGGCACGGCGTGCCATTGAGGAGCACTCGGGCCTGAAGAAGAAGGTGGTTAAGGCCCCCATCGAGGAGCTCGACTCGGAGGGCCAGAAGCTCCTGCAGCTCATTGAGAGCAGCGAGTGCTACACCAACCAGAGTACGGGTGTCGCCAACGGTGACCTGCAGGGCCTGATCCCAAAGGTCTCCGGGCTGCTGGATAAACTCCACTCCTCCAGGCAGCACCTACACCAGATGTGGCATGTGCGCAAACTCAAGCTGGACCAGTGCTTCCAGCTCAGGCTCTTCGAGCAGGACGCCGAGAAGGTCAGTGTGGACGCAAGGATGTAGGATGCCGCTCGATGAGATGTTTTCTTCAGTCTAAGCCAGGGGTCTCAAACTCAAATTACCTAGGACCTACTGGCTAGTAGAGGTCCACTTGAGCTATTTTTTATGACCCAAAAGAGAGGAGAGGGGAAAAAAGATGTATCGACTATAATTTTTGGTTAATCTATAAGACAACCAAGTTAATGCAGATTTATGAAAAAATACAATAGAAAATGGAAGTGGCCAGATTTAATAATGAATCAAAAACGTAACTGTCTGTAAAAAAACATTGTGTGTGTCAGATCTGGCCTGCGGGCTTGTAGTTTGAGACTTTCACCATTAGTAGACTGAGACATTCAGAAAATATGGGTGTTATTTCAAACAAAAGACTCTTATCAGTTAAACTGCTTCATGCATCAGTTATGCTTTAATAATAATGCAGATGATATCAGTGGTCGTCCTCTGGGGGACTAAGCAGAAGAACACAGCTGCAGGCTTTGCCAAAATAATAGACTTTTGTGCATGTGTTGATTTGCTTGTTGTGAACCTGCAAGGTGCATAATTGGCTTGTGGTATTTTAATATCGATTCGAGGCTCCCTCAGAATATCCACCCGGGAAAGATTTCACGGTCACAGACTGTGGCACCCCCCACGTCACGTGGGCTTTCCCAGAGCGATCCACAACAGTGTCTGTCTCGGCTTGTTCCCCCTGCAGATGTTCGACTGGATCATGCATAACAAAGGCCTGTTCCTGACCGGCTACACCGAGATCGGGGCCAACAACCAGCACGCCATGGAGCTACAGACCCAGCATAACCACTTTGCCATGAACTGCATGGTGAGTGACAGATATGCTGACTTTATATGGTGCACCGACTAGAGTCTGATGTTGGCATGGCTTGTATATCTTTAGCCATTAACTGTATCTGAAATACTGGCGATGGGACGCTTAAGTGGTGTCAGTGACTGACTTCATCTGTCCACTTCCTATTGGGTGGTTTGTTTTCTTTCTGGGTTCCCATTGGGTTGAGCGAGTGATTGACAGTTCCTGATAATTCCACCCACTGTGGATTTTGATCTATCAGTACTGTTGACATCGACATGAACTTCCTGATGATTAGATAAAAAGTCGGCTGATGCGATCCTGCAGGAACCTTGTACGAAGTAGTGAAGTCATTGAGAGTCGAACGCGAGTCGAATACAGCGATTGACTTGAAGCACTATACCGCTGAACCACACCGATGAAGGAATTGCAGTTAAGACTTCTGTTTTAAGCCGTATTTCTCGTGGAAATTAGTGCCCACGTTTTGGCCAGTTTCTTCACCACAATTCTGCCGTCTAATAGAAGATATATGAAGGCTTTTTACAGTTTTATGAACAGTACAATAACACCCTAGGGCATCTAACAATTTCATGAATCGTAGGATAAAAGCTAAAACCTTACAGCTGAACTCAGACCCGTGCTACACACCAGTCCAGTGGGCCTTGCTAGTCATCCTAGCGACAGGCCTCAAAGCCAAAACAGCCGCTTTAGTGTGGCCTCCGACGATTAAAAGTCATGTCGCTAAAGCATGCCTGCAATTTTTTTATCGTCTTTCTTCCCTCTGTTCTTTTGGAGGCTTGCGGCTGGGAATGGGAGAAACTCTGGCAAACATCTGTCTGGCGAACGTAATTAGGAGTCACGTTGTGTACAAACGTCATGTTCCTCACAGAAAAAACGCGGAGGCTCATTCAGTGCTGTCTGTTTTTATTTTCTTCAAAGCAGTGGACTATCCTCCCAGCTTCCCAGTATTATTTTTCATTCTTTTGATGTATTTTTATTAGATTTTTTCTTTTTTTATGGTTCGATGGGGTAGCAGGGTGTGCTGCTCCTTATACTGTACCTCCCCCAAAGCGGATTAGAAGGCAGTCCCGCGTCTGTGCATTTGGAGCTCACATATTTATCTAGGTCTTTTTTCACGGTCCGGGTGAGTTAAAACGTGAGTCTGTGTTGTTGTCCTACAGTGGCCTGGTCTCCTGTTCCTCGTGGGGTAGACAGTAGCTCTGGAGAATGAATGGATGGTCATTGTTATAATGTTGTTGTAAAAGCTTAATTTTTGGTATGATTTCTTCAATGCTTTGAATGGCCGGACTGTGGTGTAACAGCAGTGTGTGTTCAAGGATCGCAACCATATCTGAATTGTAATTGCAATGTAAGCCTTGTGCTGTTTGAGGTGATTTTGATTCATTATAAGTAATTACTCCAGTCATTTAGGTCCTCCTGTGGTTTGACTTGCTATGAGCTGTTTTCAGTGCTAGCACTGGGAATTCCGTTTTGCTGTTCAGGATGGAGATGAAGATTAGTTTTGCGGCTGTTGTAAAGCATGTGATCTCTTCTACGAGTTTCTTCTGAGGTCTCAGACCACCCACCACCCTGCAGATGAGTGGGTGTTCAAGAAAGTCCTGTTTGCTAATGAAGGCAGCTTGGCAATGTTAAAAACTACACTGTTTAATGGTTGTTAATCCTTAGTGCTCAAGGTAGCCTGTGTGACCCCTAGTGGTAGATGAAAGAACTGTTTTAATTATCTACAATTGAATCATTGAAAATAATCTGGTTGTTTATTTGGTAATAATTTTATCTGAGGTGATGTTCTGAAAACACTGCTGTATTTCACAGAGAGAAAATTAAACTCTGTTTTTCTTTCAATTTTAGTTTTTTGCTTTTGTGTCAGTATTGTATGCGCAGGAGATTACATTGTGAACGCTTCTTGGAAAATACTGTATGTAGGTACGCAGTCATCTGTTGGCGCTTAACTTGTGTGCAGGAGGGACTCTTGGAGAATTTATGTTTCACCTAGCAGTTAAGAAATACAGCATATGTTTGTGGTTCATGTTCCCAAAGGACCCCATGTAGTATCGCTGTTTATTTTATGTTCACTTAGAACTCAATAATAAAATCTCACCATATGTAAGACTAGCATGAACAATTACACTTCTCAGCAAACGCTGGATTGGTCCGCCGTAGTGATGTCACTGCAGTGTCGCCAGATATCCATTCAGTGTGCGAAGGGGGTCTATTTCTCCCCTAGAGGGTGCCAGTACTCACAAGGCATGTTGATGATTTGTATACATGCATCTGTGCATAAGCTCCGCGGACTTTTTTTTTCATTTAAGCAGTTGTGACTGGTAAGGAAATATGTTTAATTTATTCTTATCTTGTTTATATTGCCCTTGAACTACTTTGACTGTCTAACATTTACAGTATATGCAATATATACTGTTAATATGCATTATTAGATAGATCAGGGGTCTCCAACTCCGGTCCTGGAGAGCTACTATCCAGTAGGTCTTCTGTCCCACTTGGCTTCTGATGAGCCACACCTGTTCCTGGTATTTACCTGAGAACAGGTGTGGCTCATCAGAAGCCAGGTATGATAGAAAAGCTACTGGACAGTAGCTCTCCAGGACCGGAGTTGGAGACCCCTGGGATGGACTAACTTTCCATGCAGAAGATTTCGCACATAAAAACCATTTAAAATGTCCACCTTGTTCTTCTCCAGAAAAGTTTCCCAATGAGAAACACCTCTGGCCGCCTCTCTGGCCTCCGCTTGGCCCAGGCCTCATGTGACCTCCCCCTGAAGCCACGCCCCCTTATGTCTCTCCTTCAGAACGTCTATGTCAACATCAGCCGCATCATGTCAGTGGGCAACCGTCTGCTGGAGTCGGGTCACTACGCCTCGCAGCAGATCAAGCAGCTGTCCGGGCAGCTGGAGCTGGAGTGGAAGGCCTTCGCCGCCGCCCTGGACGAGCGCAGCAATCTGCTGGAGATGTCCGCCGTCTTCCACCAGAAGGCCGATCAGGTGCCCCTCCGCTCCCTCCTCTCGTTGGCTGCTGCTGTTTTCTCATCATCTCATGTAGTGATTCCCTTTTTTTTTTTGCCGCACTTGCGATGAGAATTTTTTAACTTTCCTTTTGACGTTTTCAGGCCTCCTCGCGTGTAGCTTGATTCCAGTAGCAGCAGCTAACATCTGGGTTATTTTGCACTGCCAGATGTTCTCTGTGATTGTTGACTGCAGCACTGCTGGGCACTCTGACTAGGGGTGGGCGGTACCCCGGTATCGTAGTCATTACCGGTGTGATTGTGCGCCACGATACGGATTTGTACTATATTGCTAACATGGCGAGAAGTGGAGAATTTGGAAGGCTTTTGACGCCTCTGAAATCCTGTCTGGTCAAAGTCCCTCATCTCTGTGTCGTTCCTCATAGTACATGGGCAACGTGGATTCCTGGTGCAAAGCCTGTGGAGAGGTGGACCTGCCCTCGGAGCTGCAGGACCTGGAGGACGCCATTCATCACCACCAGGGCTTGTACGAGCACATTACCAGTGCTTACTCAGAGGTGCGGCTTTTAAAGTATTTATGGTCCAAATCCCTTCACCATAACACAGGTCACTATGTTAACATCTATTGCACTCAAGTTTATTACATGTGACCTCAGCTTCCAGGTACATTGCATGATCTCTCTGTGACTCTTTGGGCTTCTAGTTCCTACCTTCATTCCAAAGGCACATAACTGCGCCAGTTATGTGCCTGAATGAGAATAGATGGTTGTCAGTTTCTAAAACTGTCCTCTCTATTGCCGTGGGTGTGTCCCACGCAGGTCAGCCAAGATGGCAAGGTCCTATTGGACAAGCTGCAGCGACCCCTGACCCCGGGCAGCGCCGACTCGCTCACAGCCTCGGCCAACTACTCTAAGGCCGTGCGGCACGTGCTGGACATCATCCACGAGGTGCTGCACCACCAGCGGCAGCTGGAGAACATCTGGCAGCACCGCAAGGTCCGGCTGCACCAGCGCCTTCAGCTGTGTGTCTTCCAGCAGGACGTGCAGCAGGTACGGGTTCCCCTGCCCCCCCCCCCCCGCCCACTTTCATGGGCCCTGTTTGCTGGCAGGTATCCCTGCTCGGAGGCGCATGGTATCCCTTCTGATGTGGGCTTTTCAAAGAGGCGCCAGTTTGCAGTGCATAGCGCCTGTGAAGGGAGGCCCATTCGGCCACAGCGATCAAAATGTAATTTTATACGGCCGCCATTGCATTTATTTCTGTTTATGGAGGAAAAGAAGGCCTCGGGATTCGCACTCTTTAGTGTCTGAAGTCTAACGAAAGGTTGCACAAAAACAAAAATTCAATTCCCAGTCAATTTTGAGGTTTATATTTTATGGAATATTGTAACAGTAATCCAAGGAGTCATTCTACGATTTCCTGTTTTCAGTTCTTCGCATATGGCTAAGATTGCAGAACACCGTGGAATGTCCGTGTCCAAAGAAATGTTTTCACTAAATATACTTTAAATTTCATTTGTGGAATTATGATATTTATACTGCATTGGATTAATGTGTCCAGTTGGCAGGGGTGTGGTTGGGGGGAGTTAGGACGACACAGGACCCCTAAAAAAATTGGAAAATAACTGGATTGGTCTGGACCGGGGGGGGGGGGCAATATGATATGCTCTCATGGGGCCAAAATTCTTTAGCAACGCCCCTGCTGGTTGGTTTCTGGCTTATATACCAATGACAGTTATAAGGCCGTGTTTCCTGGTGTGTCCTGGCTCATGTTTAACTCTGTATTAGACAGAAAAATAGGGATTCCAGGCAGGCCTCGTCTGTACTCTGCTGTGATGAATTATACTGGTATGCTTGGTAACGGTTGCCATGGTAATGCTGCTCGCCGCCGTACAATGCGGAGGGTGTTCGGATGTACAAGACACGATTCTCCAAGAAAAATAACCTTGAAAAAAGGAGCAACATTTGTGATAATTAGGGGACTAGTTTATTAGAGGAGTAGCTACACTGGTTGTGGTAGATAAACATGTCACACTAATAACTCCTGTTCACACAGAGGAAGTGGGTAGTCAGGCGCTGTCATTAAGTCCTTAAGTGCCTGCTGTTACAGACACTGAGTAATAGCACTTAATGGGTTTAGTGATATATGTGTGTGTGCATATACCCTGCGATAGACTAGCAGTCCGATAGCCCAATATTGCCCGGGATAGACTTCAGATACCGTATGACCCTATCCAACATTGAAGATGTATGGGTGGATTTTGCATTGAATCTGCACTAAAGCTGGTAGTGAATCCACAGTGTCACATGGTGGTGCTGTGGGCTGTTGTGACTGTTTTAGACGGTTAACGTGTGAAACAGGGGGGTGAAGATGCATTGAAATGACCAAGACTGAATGTGTGAGAATAAACACTCCCATATAGAGACTGATACTCAAATACATGCACTAATATTAAGATGAAACTTTATTGTCCAATATCACAGAAAGACATTCAATAAAGGATAACATAAACAAAGGGGCAATAAATATGTAAAGGAAAACTAGTAATAAAATAATCATACTAGTAACAAATTAAAGAGCGAATAAGAGAACTGTGCAGAACGATGTACCACAATGATACATTTAGTCCAATATGGCAGTTCTGCAAATGGAATATGTACATTCAAAGTCTGCTCTGAATGGCAGGGCTGTTAGCAGAAGCAGCATTGCACAGTCGCACGGCAGTGGGTGAGAAAGGGCATGATGACTGTCACTGTTAGCGGTGACAGGGACTGTTCAAGGTGGTACAAGGGTCAGGGCAGGTTTCCGACACATGAGGTGCGGCCTAGAATGTAATTTCCCAAACCTGCCATCATCCCGCCGATGTGAATGCTGTGCCGTCCCGTATGAAGAGCCTGACGTCCCAGTCCGGTCCTCAGGTGCTGGACTGGATCGAGAACCACGGGGAGGCCTTCCTCAGCAAGCACACAGGGGTGGGCAAGTCCCTGCACCGGGCCAGAGCGCTGCAGAAACGGCACGAGGACTTTGAGGAGGTTGCCCAGGTGAATGAAGACGCTCCACTCGCTTTTCTTTATCCAAAGAAACACCCAGAAATTCTTTATCTCTTTATCTACTCCACAACAAAATTGGCCCATTTGTTTAAGCTGATGGGTGGTGATGTTTTTAATAGATTCATTACATGATATTTGCCTGATATTTATCAGCATCATTCTCAATACTACCCTTCAGTGTTCAGACACGGTGCATTTTATATTGCAAACATTCTGCAGTGTGTATCCCAAGTAATAATATACTCAGGGAGCCAGTGAGATTGTAGATTGTAAGGCTTTTGTTCTACTATTGCAAAAAAGAGAAACGTTCAGTTCACTTTTTTTGCAGAAAGTGCAGGATGTTTATCTTTAAAACAGTGTTTTGTTCGCTGTAAAAACGCTTCATTGTCATATCAGGACAGATATTTTTCCGAATTACCTGTAAACTCCTTTTCTCCAACAACTGGGACAACCCTGACCATCAGGAAATCCTGCTATATCTTTTAGGTGGCATCTGCTATGACAGGAAGAAAGAGCTGCTCGTAATGCTAATCAGAGCTTAACGATCAGTTTTCATAAACAACTCTTGACCTGCACTTCCCTAGATGTGTATTTATAGAATGAAGATGCTAATGGCCTTAAGTTCAGTCATTTTTAATTATACCCCCCCCCNGCCTCTCCAATCCAGAATACATATACCAACGCTGACAAGCTGCTAGAAGCTGCAGAGCAGCTGGCCCAGACGGGCGAATGCGACCCGGAGGAGATCTACCAGGCCGCCCACCAGCTGGAGGACCGCATCCAGGACTTCGTGCGGCGCGTGGAGCAGCGCAAGGTGCTGCTGGACATGTCGGTGTCCTTCCACACACACGTCAAGGAGGTGGGTCCTTCCAGCAGCTTCACACACACACACACACACATTTGTATTCATATATTTGTGGGGACTGTCCATTCATTTTTATGGGCAAAACCCAAATCCCAACATTTACAACCTTAACCCCTACCCAGCCCTAACCTTAACCATAAGTAACCAAACAAAATACCTTTGGCACAACAACGTCGAAATAACAAGCTTTTTTTTTAATCACATTTGGTCCCCATAATGTAATATATACATTATCACGCACAAACAGAGACCTACCACACACACATCTGGGAGTTACCTCAGTGAGTGGACTCCACAAAGACACACACACACACACACAAACACGCACATGTACGCTGTATTAGTTCACACGGATACGCACCGTAAGTTGGTGGAGTAGGTCTGTGATCCTGACTGATTGCACCATAGTAGTGCACATTTATAGGAGTGACCTGCCGGAGTGTTTCACCAATTCCAGCTGATGTAGGCTCTTGCAAAGTGAAAGAAGAGCGCTGAAACGAGGGGATCCAGGAGGCCACTTCTTCAGGAGGGAAGGGTGAATTAAATTTACCAGAAATGCTCTCGGATTGACTGTTTTGTTGTCTGATGTCAGACCTCGTAGCTTGTGGGTAATGAGATGAGGGTGAGATATCTGCAGGTTTCAGCGGAGAAGTTCATACGCAGGGAGAAAACCCTTAACCTTGAATTACTGGGAATTAATTTTGGCTCTCTGAGCAGTTCTGTGTGTCTGAATAGGGTGATGGCAGTAATGAGCAGGATGGACACCCACGGATGTAAAATTTTATTTTGCTAGTATTTTTAACTCCAGACACTAGAGGGCACCCTACAGCGTATCTCTCAGGAGGGATGTCAGTTCCTGTGGTGCTGCAGATGGATTCACAGTTGTAGCTCTTATAGAGGGGGTGGGAACTTCGGGGGGTAATGCACCTTCAAAGCAGGTGGGGCACACCTCCATCACACAGTACCAACTGCTACCTGCTAGAACTGATGCTAATTTGCAGGATGTTATGAGACTCTGCTGATTGCATGTAGATAAGAGCAGTAAGTTTCATTAACGGTGCATTTCTCATGCTTCCAGAGCTCATAAAAGCCCCGTCTTTGTTCCCTGCCCTCCATGATTTCCTGTCCTGACAGTAAGCAGCTCTCTGCTTCTTTCTGAGTAGTGGCAGCAATACTGGATTGGGACGGGTACCATTTTGTAACAAGCTTTCCGATTGGTCCAGCAATAATGCTTTACCTGTAAGAAGTGAATGGTTATAATATCCCATGATGCTGCCCTTAATCTTTTATTATATGATTTGATTTTCTGTTGTGTCGTGCACATAATACGAGGAGTAACTTTATCACACATCGCAGATGTCTGAATGTTTGCTTGATCTGTTTCCTTATATTTTGAATACGTCTACTCCGGTTTGGATTCATCCATAGTCCAGCTGAGATGCATATTGGGTTTTTCTTCCCTCTGCTTAAGAACGGCTGATTTTTCCACAATCTGTGTGATTTTATGAGACCTGAAAGCGCATGAACCCTCATACTGAAGGAGGGTTTGCAGCACAGTGACATCAGCTCGGATTTCCTTCTCCACCTGGCAGCTGTGGACCTGGCTGGAGGAGCTGCAGAAGGAGCTGCTGGACGACGTCTATGCCGAGTCGGTGGAGGCCGTGCAGGAGCTCATCAAGCGCTTCGGGCAGCAGCAACAGACCACCCTGCAAGTCACCGTTAACCTAATCAAGGAGGGCGAGGACCTCATCAAACAGCTGAGGTAGACCCCTCCATGGTTCCCGCCGAGGCTCCACCAAGCCTGCTGGCTCATGGACGCCGGGTTCCTGGGGCAGGAATGGGAGTCAAACTTGTACGGCCGTCTCCTGAAGCTGACAGGGCTCATTCACCAAGAATCTCGTAGGTCGATGCAGTGAGATGTGACGACTGAAAATTTAATACATAGTGGTTGAGGATAACCAGGCGCCCTGCTCTTGTGCTGTTGGGTGAATTATTTTGATTAAATTGTTCCATTATTATATCCAGCACCAGTAATGGATGAAAAATTGATCCTTTGCATAAAACTGTCAGCTCATGAAGTGCAAAAGCACAGTTAGCCTCTGTTTTTGATTCTTTCGCAGCTTATGTAACGCCTTTGTGCCGTGCCTCTTGAAAAGAGGGCTCCGTTTGGACTTCCACTGGTGTTTCCATTGGATACAAACCACTGCCAGACAAAATAATGTGAAGGGAGGGAAAAAAAAAACAGTGAATGCTTTATTGATTCGGCACCCGCGTGTTTTGCTCCGGCATTGTCAATGGCCCATTCAGCCAAAGCCGCGATAGCCGACATTAATTGATTCCTCAGAGTCCTCGAATTACCCACTCGAATCCCCTGTCCCAGCTGCTGTGTTAACGGGCTGCGCGCTCCCTGTGATTTAAACGTTTTTATATATCTATAGTGGGTTAGGATGGAGGGATTTTGTGCATCGCATGGATGAAGGAAGCGCACAGGCTCTGCGGTCTCTGCCACGGTCTGTCGCCGTAAAGCTTTTAGGCTAATGGGCAGACTTTTGGGGCACCCACGTTATTACCACGGATGACATGCGCCGTGACCATTGACGATCCACCAAGGAAGGATTTAAAATAGCTGAATAGTAAGTGGCCTCTTTCCAATAGCACTCAGATCCATTTGTGGGTGAACTCTTTGTGGCCTTGTTCATACCACTCTTTGTAAAGCATTCTTCTTAGCTTGTTGCTAATGATTCTGTTAGCTTGTTGAACTGCTGTTGTCGTCGGATTTGTTGATGCACTTGGCTGAATATATGTCCTGCGATGCATTGCCCTCTTGTTCCCTGTGCCATGCCCTGCGCTGCCTGGGATATACTGCAGCCTCAACAAAAGATAAATATATATAAATAGCAATAAATAAACTGAAATTTTGGGCATTTCTTAGCAATAAAACAGCAGAGCATGAACCTTTAATTACTCCAACACAGCTCTTCAATGACTACGCCTCCCTGCTGGTGAAACTCATTACATGATTCAGTCGTAATTCCATTATAATTATATTGGTATATTCTGGCCCTGCCTTAATTTGTTCAAAGTGCTAAACTGATGTTTTAAAACTTGTATTGATCCTGGTCTCAGAAATGAATCGTCACAGCTTAATCTGGCGTGAATTACTCGCTGGGGCTACTGATGCAATGGCAAAAGCCTTAAAAATCACCGGGAAGTGAGTTTGCGTCAGGTATCTGTAGGCCACTGGATACATATTAGCTTCAAAGAGTTCTGTAGTCGAGGAATAAGTTTGCATCAGAGAGTTTAGTAGCCAGGGGATAAATTTAGTTTAGAAAGCTCTGTAGGCTGCAGGGATAAGTTATATTATGCAATGCTGCCTTCAGATGCTCAATTATGTCAGCATCTTAATGATTTTATTGTGCCCCAAGCATTTTAAAGAAAAAGAACGATATGTTTAACAAAAGTGGCCTGTCTGTTGGCCCTCTAAGGTAACCCCGACAGCTTCCAGAGTGAGCAGTAGGGAATCACTTAATCCAGTGAGGAATTCTGACCCGGCACTGCACCCCCTGCCTGTGTCCCTTCCGCAGGGACTCGGCCATCTCCAGCAACAAGGCGCCGCACAGCAGCTCCATCAACCACATCGAGGGTGTGCTGCAGCAGCTGGACGAGGCGCAGGGCCAGATGGAAGAGCTGTTCCAGGAGAGGAAGATCAAACTCGAGCTCTTCCTGCAGCTGCGTGTTTTCGAGAGGGACGCCATCGATGTGAGTGTATTTAAATACCTGGCCACTCCCACAAATAGCACCAGTAACATTTTACACAGAAGTTCAGCTCGGTAACAAATATGCCCCTTACCATTCTACACTGCCTGCCCCATTAACTCTGAACAGACATAAAACTAAAAGATTGATACAAAAAAGCAGAGACATCTGAAGACTTTTTTTTTGACAAATAGGTTTTTTATCAGTATTATTTTTAATTGCATTAATTTCTCACGTTTGCAATTAATGTTGCCTTTGAAGTTGCGTATCTATTTTAGTTATTCTGAGTGCTTTAATTACGTGACGACTTTGAAGTGAATCAACCATCAGTCACGTAAGGCCCGATGTTTTGTTCAGCTATCGACATTAATCCGCGCAGAGCTGCCTTGTGGATTTTTTTTTAAAACGATATCGATCCATCTCCGAAATGAGCTCAGCGTTTAAATTCGCAGTAACCCGCTTACGTTTCCCACGCGGCCCCCAGTAATGCTTACAAATGGAGCTGGGTAATGTCTCTGTGGTAGTGTTTACCACCACAAGCCATGCATTACACTGTGGGGGGGGGGTTCAAAGGAACTAGTTTAGTTGGACCTCAGAAACAAGAAACCAGGAATGGGGGGGGGGGGATTTCAAGTTATTTAGCAGTAAATGATTATTATTATTTTTGTAGTGCTGCATTCTGAGTTAGGGCCGGGGTCATGTGGCGTTGCTGATGCCTTCTCTGACACACCTGCTGTTTGTCCTTTGGGTTTTTATGCTGGAATTCCGCCCTAAGATGTAGAGCAGCTATAATCACTGTGATACCTGCCCCGGGGGTCTGAATGGCTAACTGATTCGCCCCCGCCTGGTCAGGAAGAACACATTGGCCCGGAGTACCGGGCAGGCTGGCGCCCTCTGCAGGCACCTGGACCAGGCTACCTGCGAGTCCTGATTTGCGAGTCTGAGTGGTACATGAGGCATTCAGTGACCCCAGGGATGTCCACCCTGCCTCCCGAGGTGTTTTGCTGTCTTAGAGAGTTTCTGGAAGTTTCTACAAGCTGTGTCGTGGGACAGTTTGCACCGGAGGTCAAAGAACAATTAACGTTACAGCCAGTAATTCTCTTTTTATCTGATATTTCCTGATAATCCCTTGGGCTGTTAAGCTGCCTGCTTCGTGTTATCTGTGTAGTAGTGTAACACTGCCTAGTGATCACTCTCATGCTCTACAATTTGAAGTAACAGTTTACTCAGATAACAAAACTGTAGCTCATTTGACTTTACATTGTCCATAGTGACGTTTAATTGTGGCCAACAGCAAACTACAAACATCAGTAGTGTCAAGGAGTCAACTAGGCTTAAATGCATCTAGCCTGCTCTACGAATGAATGCCCAGGTACGAGTGTAAGCAGTACTACAGTAAGAGCAATATAACCTTAACATCGAACCAAACATGAAGCTAATTGGACAACTATTCAAATCATCAGAAAGTGCAACATCAAGTACATTCAAAGAACATGGATTAGGATAGGTCTACTGGTGGTGTACCTGGAACTAATGGATCTTGAGGCATTTCTTGAAGGTGGAGAGGGAGTCTGATGACCAGATGTAGTTGGGGTAGCTCGTTCCACCGTGAGTGAACCGCAATTGAGAAACATCTGAAGTGGGAGATGGAGGAGAGATCTCCAAGACGCGCTGGTTTGCAGAGCGAAGAGGGCGAGATGGGACATAGATCTTAAGGAGCCACTTAGGGATAGGAACTGAAGGTGGTTTGACTTTACCTAGGGCGGTGTTTCCCAATCCGGTCCTCGGGAACCCACAGTCACTCCATGTTTTTGCTCCCTCCGGGCTGCCTAATAGACAGTCCACATTTACTGGGATCTGGGAGGGAGCAAAAATATGGACTGTGGGTCCCTGAGGTCCTAGGGAATGTAACTAAAGCTTATGATCTGCTGGACTGTTAATCTGTATAATTCCCCTGCCAGGCAGTAGGAGGTGCTGTGGTGCCAACCAAAGCAGGTTTCGATTTGACGGGATTCTGGGTTATGTGTTGACAGGTGAAGTCAGGTACATGTAACAGTAGTACTTTTTTTAACGAAATGTTTTTACCCTGAAATATCTGACACTATAGAGAAACATTTTTCAGACTGTGGTTATGCTGTGTGTTCGTCCCAGACACATATTATGGTAAATTTGCATTTGTGTCAGGCGCAGCGTTCTGCAAATAGCCTTATTTTTATGGTAAACTAATTCATCAATCCATCTTCCAACAGTTTATCCTGGTCCGCATTGCCGGGATGATAAACTAGTTCCAGTGTTAATTTATACAGTGGAACCTTGGATTACGAGTAACGCGGTTTATGAGTGTTCTGCAAGACGAGCAAAGATTTTTAATAAATTTTGACTTGGAAACCGAGCAAGTCCTGGTTTACGAGCGCCAAGTATCATCAAAAATCATATGGCACACATGCGCTCCTTGTTTTTCTTGTTTTTACGTGCGCTCGGCTTCAAAACAGGAAGCGCATGCTCGTCTTGCAGAACACTCATAAACCGCGGGGATATATTTAATAGTCCTGAAAACTTAACGAAAACAGCCAAAAATTTCAAACTGCTGTTCTCCATGAAAGAAATGTGTGATCCCTACATAGCAAAATAGATTCCACAATCTAATGGCAAAATCAATACAGTGATATAAGCATTATGTTTGCCGGAGCCTGTGTTTATCATACTAACCTATAAAGATGATATAATGTTCGACTTCTTCAGCAGAGTGACAGTACTCAGATCAGCCACAGTGGCACATAATGGCCATAACAGTGACACCAGTGCCACTGTACAAAGTCAGACACGCAGGGTGAATTTTAAAGACCGTGACGCCCCTTTGGAAAGTGGCTCGGGAGAACCGCAGCCGCCCTCTGGTTAGCAAGGGGGGAGCGGGTATGGGGCTTCCGTTTGGCGCGGCCTGCAGGGAAAGGGGGCCGTGGGGAAAAGGGCCCATGGGGGAAGGGGGCCACTGAGGGAAGGGGGCCCACAGGGGAAGGGTGCCACTGAGGGAAGGGGGCTTTTCCCCACAGGGGAAGGGTGTCACTGAGGGAAGGGGGCTTTTCCCTACAGGGGAAGGGACCCACTGGGAAAGGGAGCCACAGGGGATGGGGGTCCATGGGGGAAGGGGGCCCATAGCGGAAGGGGCCCACGGGGAAAGGGAGCCACAGGGGAAGGGGTCCATGGGGGAAGGGGCCCACGGGGGAAGGGGGCCACTGAGGGAAGGGGGCTTTTCCCCACAGGGGAAGGGGGCCCATGGGGGAAGGGAGCCACAGGGGAAATGGGCACCTGGGATAGAAGAGCCTATGGGGAATGTATGCCGGTCAGGTACCAGCGTGCAGGATTCACAGGCAGCTCACAGCTTGAAAACAAGGATGCGTGTCGCTCTGTGTTTGCGGTCTCTCATTTCAAAATGAATGTTATTATATTCCAACAAGAATATGTTCTTCCTGTTCTCTAAATTTGTCTTTGCATGTTATTTTCGCTAAGACTTTGTTCACTAGCTTTTCTGTGTCCCTGATGCTCACTTTGAGGGGGGGGGGGGAGGTCACTGACCTCACACTGATTCTCCCTCCACAACTCAGATCATCTCAGACCTGGAATCCTGGAACGACGAGCTGTCACAGCAGATGAACGACTTCGACACGGAGGACCTGACTCTGGCCGAGCAGCGGCTGCAGCACCACGCCGACAAGGCGCTCACCATGAACAACCTGACCTTCGACGTCATCCACCAGGGCCAGGAGCTGCTGCAGTGCGTGGGCGAGGTTCAGGCCTCCGGTGAGGCCGACTGAGGACCAGAGCGTCCGCCCGCTTCCTTCCGTGGTTGAATATTTGATCGTTTTTCTAATCAATGCATATTAATTATGACACTCAATCTGATGTAGCGATGACTGGGAACGCAGACAGGACGTAGTTGAGGAACGCCATGTTCAGGAATACCTGTTACTTTTAGCTTGTGGGGACATTTTTCAGGTCTCCCCTCTCTAACCCCCCCGCCATCCGCCATCTCCAGGCGTGGACCTCCTGTGCGACCGTGACGTGGACATGGCCACACGGGTGCAGGACCTGCTGGAGTTCCTCCACGAGAAGCAGCAGGAGCTGGACGTGGCGGCCGAGCAGCACCGGCGCCATCTGGAGCAGTGCGTGCAACTGCGCCACCTGCAGGCCGAAGTGAAGCAGGTAACGTTACACCTCTGCTGGTCAATCAGTAGATGACATTAGTGAATGTCAGGCAAATGTTTGTTTAAGGAGGCAAAGAGACCGTAATCAGCAGTACTTAGGTGTACGTACACGCCAGAAACTACAGAGACTCCTGTCACAGATTAGAGTGCAAACCAGTCTGGAATTAGATATTACAAACAGTATTCAGACACGTGAAGGCCTGGTTTGAAGCAGCTTTACACCATGTGGTTCTCGTGATACATGTGATCAGAAGCTGAAATCCCACGGTTGGCAGAATGATGTTACCATTGGGCCGTCATTGTGTCAGGGATCGTCCGATCCTGCTTTCTCAGCTACTTTGGATAAAAGCGTCTGCAAAATATATAAATTAGCCTGTCCCAAGTGGGACCTTCAGGCGTGAAGCGCTTATTAACGTGCTGATTATGATTGGTTACTTAAAGACCTGTTAGAAGGTCAGGTCGGCACCCCACCCCCCATCATTTAGGCCTGGTATCTGATCCAGAGCACGGCTGACTGTCTCCGCAGGTCCTGGGCTGGATCCGGAACGGGGAGTCCATGCTGAACGCCGGCCTGATCACGGCCAGCTCGTTGCAGGAGGCCGAGCAGCTGCAGCGGGAGCATGAGCAGTTCCAGCATGCCATCGAGGTGCCCCCCCCCCCCCCCCCCTACTTCCTGTTCCAGCCTCACTCACTTCCTCCCCCACTCACCCTGGGCTTTTTGGCCCCTGTCACGCCATTGGCACAAAAACAGAGTTTGGAAATTGGCCAGAGTGGAAGGCAATGTGACGGGACATGCATCGGGAATCAGAGCCTTTTGTAACTGCAGAGATATACAAATATGTCTCAAAATATACTTTTGAAGTCGAGTAGAATCCCTCTGCTCATGTATTTCCGCTAAAGTACTTTTTATTACAGCTGTCTTCCGTTAAAAGTAGCAATTTTAATTCAATAACTAGTATTACAAAGCAGTCCATTTTTGCTGGTGGTTTTATCCGACTGGTGCTGTCACTAATTAAGCGGCTGTCTTTAATCGCAGTGGCAGTCCCAGGTGCTTCTTATTACAGTGTCATTTATATTGTATTTCATCACCCAGAAAATGGCTTCCGAGCCACTTAGCCATTAGCCAGATGGTAAGATAAAGTCTTAAGCTTTCCTAAGATTCCTCAGTGCAGTTAAACTCAGTTTCCCTCTGCTGTAACCTTGAAGTGCGGCTGTGCAGGGAGGTGTTCGGCCCTTTAGACACCATCCACATCCTACCTCTGCACCACTCACACGTCCGACAAGAACTGCAGCAAAAGGGACAGTCAGACGTACAAGCGAGGGTGATAAATGGGTTTTTATATAAAGGAGTAGCCATAAATAAACAAGCATGCATGCATTGGGCAACTCATCTGTCGGTTTGAAGTGCATCCTGGGAAGACAGGATGCGTTGTGGATGTTGGTGGTGTGAGGGAACATGGCTGCCGAAGGGCCATACTGCCCTTACTCCCCCTCACTCCCCCTTACTCACCCTTACATTCCCTTACCCTCCCTTAAACCCCATTACTTACTTTTACTCACCCTTACTCAACCTTGCTCCCCCTTACTAGCTCTTACTCTTTCATTGTCACCCTTACCTCACCCCACTCTCCCTTACTCTTCCTTAACCCCAACACCCCCTTATTTCCCCTTACTCCTCCATACTCACCCTTTCTCACCCTTACTCATCTTTTCTTTCCCTTACCCTCCCTTACACCCCATTACTTACTCTTATTGACGCTTACTTATCCCTACTCCCCCTTACTTCTGCTTACTGTCTCTTACTCACCATTACTCTCCCTTACACCCCCTTACTTCCCCTTACTCCTCCATACTCTCCCCAACTCCCCCATACTAGCCCTTACTCTCTCTTACTCACCGTTACTCTCCCTTACACCCCCTTACTTCCCCTTACTCCTCCATACTCTCCCCAACTCCCTCATACTAGCCCTTACTCTCTCTTACTCACCATTACTCTCCCACCCCAGAAAACGCACCAGAGCGCCCTGCAGGTGCAGCAGAAGGCTGAGGCTCTGCTGCAGGCTAACCACTACGACATGGACATGATCCGCGAGTGCGCCGAGAAGGTGGCATCCCGCTGGCAGCAGCTCATGCTCAAGATGGAGGACCGCCTCAAACTCGTCAACTCGTCTGTGGCCTTCTACAAGACGTCTGAGCAGGTGAGCGCCTGTTTCCCTGGCGACTGAGGTCGTTTAATGTCTGCCTGACACTGTGGCCTGAACATCTGACTGATGCAAACAGCTCATGGCTCATTGCTGTTGTTCTTCCCATAGACAAACTTCTAATAGTTTAAGAAGAATTAGGTGAATGTTCATCAGTCTTCCGCTGTTTGCAATAGCTTTGAGAATTCAGTTCAATTGAATTCAGTTCAGTTCCTTTGTATAGCGCATTTTCTTGACATTACATTGTCTCAAAGCACTTGACATCATCCCCACCCAAAGCCCCCAGTGAGCAAGAGTCCATCCTCAAAGGCCAACAAGGGGTAGATGAGATGAGAGAATCAGTGGTACAGCAGCAGGGCGTTGAGAAGATTTAGTAAAAAGTAATTTTCTGAATGCTGCTGTTGTTGACATGGGTGGGTTAGGGTCCCCTACAGTTGTGGATGGAGCAGGGCATTCTGGGTAAGTAATGCTTCGACATGTTTGTGCCCAAGGTGTGCAGTGTGCTGGAGAGCCTGGAACAGGAGTACAAGCGTGAGGAGGACTGGTGTGGGGGGGCCGACAAGCTGGGGCCCAACTGCGAGACGGACCACGTCACACCCATGATCAGCAAGCACCTCGAGCAGAAGGAGGCTTTCCTCAAGGTAGAACACGTCTCTGCCACCCCCTCTGGGCAGCTTCCGGGAGTCTTCTGGCTTATAGAACTGATTCGGATGTCACTTCACATTCAGATTCGCAAAAATCTAGGCTGTCGAATGTGGTGTATTTGTTGTTTTTTTCAAGACTTTAGTGAGTTAGCGCTGTTCTGAAGAACCATCTGAGGTAGAACTAGTTGTGTCATTAGTTAGTTTACTTGGGTAATAATGGCATGTTCAACCAAACACTTACTTGTGAAACCGGCTGCCTGAAATAGTATTTTGCTCTCTGTGTGATTCCAACCAAGTTCCGCCATGCTCTCTGGTTTCCTTTTGCAGTCCGAAGACCTGCAGTTTGATTGGCGTCTATAAATAGCCCAAATTGTATGTGTCTGTGCCCTGTGATTGGCTGGTATGCCATCTAAGGTGTCCCATCCAGAGTGTCCCATCCAGGGTGTCGTGTGCCCCCCGCTGCCTGGGAGAGACCTCCCCCCATCCAGAAGAAATGGGAAGAAGCTGAATTGATGGCTGTTTTAACCCCAAACACTCTGCTCCTAGAGTTTAGCATTTCTGGTGCTATGTAACGGTGCCACTATCGCCATGGGTGACGCACCTGAATGACAGCCGTGCTCACCGCATGCCTCTCGCTTGCTAGGCATGTACGCTGGCCAGACGCAACGCAGACGTCTTCCTCAAGTACCTGCACCGGAACAGCGTCAACATGCCAGGGATGCTGGCCCACGTGAAAGCTCCGGAGCAGCAAGTGAAAAGTAAAGCCTGGCCACTCGATCATTATCCCCTCCCGCTCCCGAATATGCAGCCAGGTCCGTTTACAGCCTCCCGTGTCCCGGCAGACATCCTGAATGAGCTGCTGCAGCGGGAGAACCGTGTCCTTCATTTCTGGACCATGCGCAAGAGGAGGCTGGACCAGTGCCAGCAGTACGTGGTGTTTGAGCGCAGTGCCAAGCAGGTACGCACCAGCCTGAAGGAACTCAGCACGCTTAATGATGCATGTCACAGTTATTGCACATGATGCAATCGTGTCATCATCGAGCACCTCCCCCCCCCCACCCCCGGCTAAACTCTAACGAAATCCAAAAAAAAAATTTTTAAATGTTGACTTCCAACTCCTGCATACCAGAAGGTTTTCGGTCCTCAAGGGGAATCCCAAGCTTTGCTCCTCCGTGGTTTTGGTCCCCTCTAGGTTCAGAGTGGCTCTTCACAATGTCAAACCTGTTTTTACGTGTCCCCAGGCCCTGGAGTGGATCCACGACACTGGCGAGTTCTACCTGTCCACCCACTCCTCCACAGGTTCCAGCATCCACCACACGCAGGAGCTGCTCAAGGAGCACGAGGACTTCCAGATCACCGCCAAGGTGCGCTTGCCGGTCCCCTGGGATGTCACAGGGCGCTGTGCGAACTGTTAAAATCTTTGTGTTTTATTGGAGAACAGATTTAAAGTATTTAAGGACCAAGATCGATTTCGAGATGTTCTGTTAGAAGGTGAAGTAATTGCATGTTCTGGCTATCACATGTCTGCCTGCTCTATTCCAGGACTTTTCCATGTTGACTGGGGTAATAACCCTACAACAAAGTTATGGGAATGTTGTTCTTAATGATGTCAGAACGTTATGCTGGCTGTGCAAGTTCACAGATCCATTTCATGCCGCTGAGGAAGATTCCCCATTAGGGCGCCCACCAGGCTACCTGGGTAGTGGCTCCCTGGGTCGTGTTTTGACGTTTTGGCTCGTGTAGGGTTCAGGGTCATTACGCCCTGGGGTGTATTCTTCATTTGCACTGGTGTTGTATTTTGTTTCCCCTGCCGATGTCCCCATCTCTGCCATTTTAATCTCCTCCTGTCTTTGTATTGACAGCAAACCAAAGAGCGGGTGAAGCTGTTGATTCAGCTGGCAGATGGCTTCTGTGATAAGGGTCACGCCCACGCCATGGAGATTAAGAAATGGGTCTCCGCCGTGGACAAGCGATACCGGGAGTTCTCCATACGCATGGACAAGTACCGCACGTCCCTGGAGAAGGCGCTGGGCATCTCCTCGGACTCCAACAAATCGGTACGTGCACGTGTCTGCGTGCGGATGTTTGTGTGCGACCGTCTTGCCTCACCTTAGCGGGCAGCGATTCCTCAGGGCCGCGTTATTTTCCGTGTCTTAACGTTTTGATCGCTTACGCGCTCGGTTGTCCAATCGCAGAGCAAAGACCTGCAGCTGGACATCATCCCAGCCAGCGCCCCGGGGTCGGAGGTCAAGCTGCGGGACACGGCGCATGAGCTCAATGAGGAGAAGCGCAAGTCGGCCCGCAGGAAGGAGTAGGTGTCCAGCCCGGCGCAGGTGTTAAGTGGCTGAGCCTCCCCGCGTTCAGTCTCTTTTGACTGAAGAGTCTGTTTCTGAGCTCTCAGGTTCACTCACGCAAGAGCAGCATCAGAAATGCAGGCAGATCCCGGCCTCCTGCTGTCCTGTTTAAACGGGAGTTTGACAATCCTGTTTCTTCCGCGTCTTCCCCAAATGCCATCTAATGCCATTTCCCCCATGCATTCACCCTAATCGCTAGCGTACGACCTGCCATTACATAACGACAAGCCACAGCGTTCCTTAGGTCCAGACTCTATCATGTTGCGCTTGGTGATCTCAGTTGTTGCACAAATGAACAAGTTTGTCGCCTCGGCTGTGTCACGTACATGTCGCTCACTGCCGGACGCTGTTTTCCAGTTTCATAATGGCCGAGCTGATTCAGACAGAAAAAGCCTATGTGAGAGACCTCCGAGAATGCATGGATGTAAGTACTGCCCTACCACGCTAAGTGAGCGTCTAAATTAATGACTGTCTGCTGCAGTAAGAGAGTATAACTTACTGTCTGATTTCTCAGTGAAGTCAGTTATCGTGATGTATGTGTGTAAGTGTCAGTTAAATGCCAGACGATTTTATCTATGAAGGTGCTTCTTTAATCCCCTTGACGAAAGCCAGTCGTTTACCCTCACCCCATGAGAGCTAGTGAGCGAGTTTGAACGTGTTTGAGGTAAGGGCACAGGGTAAAGAGGTTAAGAGCCTTATTCAGTTAGGGTTAAGGGTCTTAGCGGAGGGTCCAGCAGGGATTTGATTCCTTTGACAGCCACAGAATTTGAACTAATTACCTTTGAGATTCAAGCATTGATGGCTAACCTGTTGAACTAAGCACCAGCCATTATGGGGACACCCATAGTAAATGATGGGGGTGTAGGAGTGTTGGACACCCCCAGTGAATCATAAGGGACCCACATGACACAGTTCGCATGAAAGCAGTAGGGTCTCCTCAGTGACATTGTTCATGGTCCACTGGGGTCCATTGCACTCCTTCGCGGTCCTTCGCGGTTGCGGTTCGGCTAACACGGCAGGTTCCCGCTTGCAGACGTACCTGTGGGAGATGACCAGCGGGGTGGAGGAGGTCCCTGCAGGAATTGTTAACAAGGAGCACATCATCTTCGGGAACATGCAGGACCTCTACGAGTTCCACCACAAGTGAGTCTGTTTACCTCCAGGACAGACAATGTGGTCCCACATATGATGGACACTTTCTAAGCAGATGTCTCTGTTCCTCTCCCAAAAGTATATTCCTGAAGGAACTGGAGAAGTACGAGCAGCTGCCTGAAGATGTGGGCCATTGCTTTGTGACCTGGGTTAGTCCAGCATTCTTTCACTGAAGATCAAACCTTCCTCTGACCCTCATATTAAATTGAGTAATTATTGTGCTTAACTGATGCCAAAAGCTATTATTTTAAGCTTTTACACTATTCACCTTCACAGCAGGCAGTTCAATGCAGGGCCAAACTATCCTAGCTATGAGTTTCACGTTTTGCTCTATAAGTTGCTCTTTGGAGCGCGCTCAGTAATAGAGTTTTATTGATATGACAGGAGGATGCATTTTATTTTTCTGAGAATTGCAGCCGCAGTGCTTTCACCTTCGTAGTTAATCATAATAAAATCGAGTGCGTAAAACGTTAATGATGTCATATTACAGCGGTACATCCTGTCCAGGGTGTAGTCACCCCCCCCCCCGTGTGGTCTGGGATTGGCACTAGGCCTCCATGTGACCCTCAGCTCGATAAGCAGTTGGAACGTGGATATTACAGCAGTATTTATGCAAGGTATGTGTCGATGATGAATACCTGTCTTTTTTGCAGGCTGATAAGTTTCAGATGTATGTGAATTACTGCAGGAACAAACCCGACTCCACTCAACTCATCCTGGAAAACGCCGGCTCCTATTTTGATGTGAGTTGCACTTTTTGTGCCTTACGGAATTGGGGTAAAAGGTGAACTATCTTGTGTAATTACCGGTATAAATTCAGTGTAAAAGGAAATCAGCAGTCGGCTTGTCTTTATTATTCTTCCACACACACACCCCCCGCCCCAAATTTTTTGTATTTGGCCCAGTGGTGCGACAGGAGCTGCTGGGCTGGTGCATCAACGTTTCAGAAGTGCGTTAAGATGTTTATGGGCTCCCTGGAGGCCATATCGCAAAGTGTTTAATGGTCACAAAAGCATAATCTTTAACGAGTTTACCGAGCACATGCAGAGCTTCAAGGCTTTGCCTGCCCCTTCCCGTGGCTCATTCCCATCACCCCCACTGTGTTTGCGCCCCCCGGGGTCGCTTCGATGATGAGAAACCGAACGTACACATGTGCACTGCCTGCCGTGTTTAATGGCCGCAATAACCTTATTCTCTAACGAGTTTAATGATGCAAACCTTTAAAGAAACGCCGGCACACAGGCTCTGTGTATGAGCCCCTGTGGCTTGTTTACATTGCCCCGCCTTGTTCCTGCCCCGGGCATCATGTCTGGTGGTGGTGATAAGCCCAACATACCCACGTCCGCTGCTAGGTGTGACCACTGCCTGGCATCGGCCAATGGGGAAAAGCTGGGAATCTCTTGGTTTGGTTAGGTTTAGGATTTCTGTGTGTGTTCATGTATGTTTTTGTCAAGTACTCCCTTCCTTGTTTCCATGAATTCCCGTTTCTGTGCACATTGCAGGAGATTCAGCAGAGACACAGGCTGGCCAACTCCATCTCCTCATACCTGATCAAGCCAGTACAGCGGATCACCAAGTACCAGCTCCTGCTAAAGGTGGGCGGGCGGCCCAGGCCGGTCCAGAGCGGTCCTGGGCGGTCCCAGGCAGTCCTTAGCACTAATCGAGGGCGCTACGCTCGCCTTCTGTTATTGCTTGAAGAGTTTTATTCCAGACGCGCTGCTTATATGATTGTTCAGCCTTTTGGTTTGGATTGAGATGCACGCCGGTGCAAGCATGGTTAAGTACAGCCAGATGTCAACTGATTTTATAGCTACATACCCTGTAGAATCTGTAAAAACACAGACCATCTTTTACCTTCCACTGTTCACAAGCAGCTGGGTGAAAGATCTCTACCCAGTGGAAGCTGTACCGTGAATGATGGGAACCTGATTGGCAGCCAGTGTTTTATGGGTGCTGTTACTCCCTGTCATTTTCATCTATTTATATTTGAGGGATGTTAAAAAAATAAGATGATTTGTCAGTGCTAGTGAGTCCTGGAAGGAAGTAGCATTTATGATGAGTGATGTTGCATAGAAATACGAAATATTGCTGTAGGAATGTTTATATGAAGATGCATTGGCTTCCTTTAATGCACTCTTGAGATGCTACAGGAATGTTTGTATGAAGATTGTTCTGGTTGGGGGTGGTTTGTGGCTTAGGCGGTTGGGATGCTTTGCCATTAATCAGCAGGTTGTTAGGTCAAATCCCAGGACTGGTAGAGTGAATTAGCTGCTGGCGCACTGAGCAAGGCCCTTAACTCCAAGTTGCTCCAGAGATTGCCTACCCGTGAACTCTCAAAATGTTTTCCACTCTGAATAAAAGCACTTGCCCAATAAATACAATTGAAATGCTATAGGGATGTTTTCATGAAGATGGCTTCACTTGTTTTATTCCACTTTTGGGTTTCAGGAGCTCTTGACGTGCTGTGAGGAAGGGAAAGGGGAGATTAAGGATGGCTTGGAGGTCATGCTGAGCGTACCCAAGCGGGCCAATGATGCCATGCACCTCAGCATGCTGGAAGGCAAGTGGCAGCGAACCGCATGCAGGCAGGACCATGCAGGACCATGCAGGACCATGCAAGCCTACACACACCTTATGGGTCTCTTGGCTTACAATTTTTTTTATTGCCCAGATTTGATGGTCTGTTTGGTTGGCACCTTTCTCCTCAGGTTTTGACGAGAACATCGAGTCTCAGGGTGAGCTCATTCTGCAGGAGTCCTTTCAAGTGTGGGACCCCAAGACCCTTATCCGCAAAGGCCGTGAACGCCACCTCTTCCTCTTTGAGATGTCGCTGGTCTTCAGCAAGGAGGTCAAGGACTCCAGCGGCAGGAGCAAGTATCTGTACAAGAGCAAGCTCTTCGTAAGCACCTTCAACTTAATCGAGTTCCTTGCTCAGCATGAAAACCTCGAACGTCCTCCAGCACCTCCTCCCACTCTCTTTTATCTCCTCCTCTCCATAGACCTCAGAGCTTGGAGTAACAGAGCACGTGGAAGGTGATCCATGCAAATTTGCACTTTGGGTGGGGCGAACTCCTACCTCAGACAATAAGATTGTCCTGAAGGTGAGTAATATCAGCACTTAAAACGTTTTTTTTTTTTGCATAAGTTCTTCATTTTGTAAAAACCTCTGTGCTTATTTTTTACCTTATAGGTTTATAAGTTTTAGGTTTAAAAATAGCTATTGTACATATACCTCCTCTGAATTTGTTTTATATGTCTATATTCATTTATTTCCTTAATATTCTTTTTCAGGGTGTGCTTTTTACATTGTGTATTTTTAAAAACTCTGTACCTTGTTGTTGTACATTGTTCTGCAGTATTATCTTGCTTGCAGCTGTATGCAGTAGACTCCCTCAGGATCAATACAGTTTGTTATCTCATCTTACCTTAGCCTGACAGGTGTATATACACACACACACACATCTTACTCTTAATAAATACTGCAAAATTGACCTGTTTACTGCTCTTATTATGTTCTACCCTATACTGTTCCTGCTCCTTCTATGTAAATAAGTTTCCTCCTCGCCTTCATACCGTTTCTGCCTCCGCTTACAATACGGCAGCCGGTCTTTACACTGTACAGCTTGAATGGCACTGTGACACTCACTTCTTAATCAGACTTTTATGTAAGTGACAGCTTTGGATGACACCACCGAACGCCCTTAAAGGCTGGGTGAGTGACTCATATGCAAATCTCACCGTTAACTGTAACGCGCAGATTTCACAGATTGCCAGCAGTTATCTGGTCCCCCAAACACGTGTCATTAATGTCTCCAATGTTTGCAAATGGTGAAGTTTAGTTTGTTTAATCCATGCTAAGCTAGTTAAACTAATTAAGCTTAATATGTTCGAATGAGGCAGGGGTGAAAAGGGGTGTGGTCACTGTATCTGGAGATGATGTCAGAGAGCGAGACTGGGTTCATATTGGGCTCCCGGTTCCCTCAGGGTTCCAGCCTGGAGAACAAACAGGACTGGATCAAGCACATTCGAGAGGTGATCCAGGAGCGGACCATCCACCTCAAGGGGGCGCTCAAGGAGCCCATCCACATCCCCAAAACAGCCACCACCAAGCACAGGACCAGGAGGTGACCTGCTGGCTTTAATACTGGGATTCCTAAAGTGCCCTGTGCCCTAAAAAAGTCCTGAAGCTGCATTAACAGCTTTTTCTCTTGTCTAATTGAGTAAAATGCAATAATTGCCAGCTTTGCTTTTTATTACACGTTTTTTTCTGTTGAGAAGCACCTTTTACCTGCAGTATTAATATTCTGACTATTTTATAAACAAACCTGCAGGGAGGGCGAGGACCTGGACAGTCAGGGTGATGCTAGCAGTCAGCCAGACACCATCTCCATCGCCTCCCGCACCTCCCAGAATACCCTGGACAGTGATAAGGTAAGGAATCCCCTCTCAGAAACTACATCACCACTAGGTGGCGCTCTAGCTGAACCCGATGCCTGAGGATCGGCTTCAGGGTGTAGGACCTCCCTCGGGCCCTGAGGAGATTCCCAAGCTCCTGCGTTTCTCGCTTTAAGCAGTGGAGAAAAAGGGTGAAGGACCTGGGCATCTCACCTTCTTTCAGGTCTAGCTAGTGTGAGGAGATGCAGACCGATAAAGAAAAAAATACTTCTTAGAGCAGCAATTCTACTTTTTGTTCTTCCTGTTCACTACTGTTAATTTTGCTTTTGCACGGTTTTGTGGTTTCTACAGATATCATTGTTGCTTTGCCGTATATAAACTGTATTCAAATTTAACTGAAACCAAAGGGTAAAATCCGCAACACAGAATGTCAAAATTAACACCTTTTACGACCGTGTCCGTGAACCGCCGTCGCCGACGAGAGACGGACCCAGATGATGTCAGAATGTGGGAGCTGTGCCTTTAAGTCTCGCGGAATCAGTCTGCTCACCGTGAGATCGCTCGCTCCCTATAAAAGCGCGTAGTGACGCGTCGGCGATGTGTGAGTGCGTCGGTACCGCTCCAGCTCTGCACGGCTGCCACCCGTAAGCTCAGAGGCACGGTGTACGCGCAGATGGGAGGATATACCATCCCCCGGTTTCTGCCGTCTTAGCATCCCTCGAGTTTTAACACCGGATCGGTAGCAGTTCTGACCCCGTCCAAGCCCACGATCGCACCCCGAACCGCGTACAGAGTCCTCGGGAGACGTGCTGTCGGGATTGGGCATGAGAGACTGCAGCCCGTCTAAGAGGATGGAGACCAAGCGTGCGGGTCCTGTGGCTCAGCTGCTGAGCTCCTTAGCGCTGCCTCCACAGCAGTGGGTACGTACGTCTCCACAGAGGCCCGCCTGTGTTTGCGTTAATCTCTCTAATCTACTAAGAAGCATCACAGTCGTAGGAGGCGTGCTCTGTTTCCCTTCGATTTAAAGCTTCCGAATGGGGAGAAAAGGAGCGTGTTGTTGCTTTCTTGTCTATCCTGCTTTGTTTTGCATTTCCCGTTCAGGCTCTTCTAAAATTGACCTTATTGTCACATTTTATCAAGGAACGACAGAGTAAGGTTTGCTAAAATGTGCAGTGCAGAGTAATCTGGCAATGTACCCTCAGTCACAGGGAACACGGTGATGTTGTGTTTGCGCTCATGTTGCGGTTGTGAGTGAGTGTGGTTTTGTGTGTCCCTCCCCTTCTTCCCCAGCTGTCGGGCGGCTGTGAGCTCACCGTGGTCATCCACGACTTCCTGGCCAGCAACGGCAACAGCCACGAGCTGACGGTGCGGCGCGGGCAGACGGTCGAGGTGCTGGAGCGGCCCCACGAGCGGCCCGACTGGTGCCTGGTGCGAACCACTGACCGCTCGCCCGCCCAGGAGGGCCTGGTGCCCTGCAGCGCCCTCTGCATCGCCCACTCCCGCAGCAGCATGGAGATGGAGGGCATCTTCAACCACAGAGGTATGCCACAGCTCGTCTCATCTCCTCCATGGCCAGCAGGTGGTGCTGGTCTTTCCAGGCTTTCGGTGCGTATTCTGACCACGGAGACTGGCGTAGCCTCTTCTGGAACTAATGGACCATCCCGACCCAAACCTGAACCCTAACCTATCCATTACAGATTGGAATTCACCCACTCAAACCCTAACTCATTCTTTAGAGATTTTCTCGATGGAACCAGCTGGCCTTTGGCTGGGGTTACGGTTGTTTATTTTCCCTCTCTGTGCCTTGTGATGGTCTGGTCCTGTCTGCACTGGCAACCGAATGTGGAGTTAATCCTGCTGGGGTGGGGGCACAGTCTCCACGACAGAACCGTAGGTGTTGAGCTGCCAGTGTTTGTTAGGGCTGGTGATTCATCACAGGTTTACGTTTGCCTGAGCTGCTCCGAAGGTTCCACCCAGAATCCTTTCCAGATTCTGAATCGTGGAACCGTGCATCACGAGGAATCCTTCTGGGCAGAAAGACACATCCCTTTGTAGGCCTGATTCAGTCCCGTTTGGCAGGACAAAGGGGGTAGCGTGTGTCTTCACTCCCCTTACAGCTCCCCGTGATTCAGCTTTGCTGTCCGTTTCGCGTCTTTCACAGTGGAATCCTGAGTGAAGCTGTATTCTCAGCGCAAGCTGTGACCAGGAGAGGGAGCAGATGCCAGGTGACACCTGACAGCACCCTGGGGATGGAGGAGGAGGAGGAGGAGGAGGAGGAGAGCTGTAAAATGCCCCCTCATCGTCCTCACCAAATGCATTGATGAGGAGTCGTCTTCCTCAAAGGAAGCCTTCCAATCAGATTGAGAGGCACAGTAGATTAGGGTTGGAGTTAATCATGGAGGAGTCAGAGTGTTTCAGACAGGCGGATGGGGGTTCCTCCTGTTCTCATGCACATGTCAGCTGAGGCGTTGGAGTCTGGATTTCCTCCGGAATCGCGCCGTGTGCCCGTGCTTCCGTGCCAGCGCTTGGGAGCCTCTCTTTTCTCTCTTTCTTTTCTTAAACGGATTGGGAGAGATCAGTGTCCAGATGATGGGTTGCCTTTGTAAAATCGTGGATTAAAAGGCTTATACGAGCCCCTGGGTTTCTGCGAGCCGCTGTCTGACAGAGCTGACCATCCTCTCGTTGCTCGGTACCTGCGTAATACAAACGGCTGCCTCTCGATTGCTTGTCCGTAAGATGCACCCGTGTACTGTACTCCCCATAGACGTCTGCCTCCCACCTTAATCGCCGCACCGTGTCTCTGCCGGTCCAGTGGTCAATACGAGAAGCTCGTTCACTTTGCTCCCCGATTAACTCTGCATCAGCTGGCTTGTTTGTGCCGTTAGACGTCAAGTCAGCATTACGCAGTTTATAATGGACCTCAGACTTAAGGGAAAATGTTTGCAGATGTACATCAAATGGCACGAGGCCTCACACCTCCAGGCTTGGGGGTGCAGTATGACCTGCTTTATGCCTTAAGTATCCTAGAATACGTTTTACATTGTATTTATACAAAAAAAGTACAGAAAGTACAAATCCAGACCATGATTTAGTTCCAACCAACCAGTTGAGCATAAAGAGTTACAGAGTACTCCACTGGTTGGTTGAAACAAAATCCTGGTCTGGATTTGTACTTTCTGAACCTGAAATTTCCACCTCTGCTACTTTTAAACTGTAGCTTTTCAAGCTACAAGCTACTTATGATTAAAAGTAGCTGAGCTACAGCCAAGCTACTGTTTTAATATAGTAGTTAGCTACAAGCTACAGAGAAAAAGTAGCTAACTACATCAAAGCTATTTCATCCGGTAATATTTATTATTTGTGCTGTAGGATACTCTTAAAGCAAGTTAATAAAAAAAAATGTGAAACATAATGTTAAAAGTAATATGAAAATATATATTTTCTAATGTAATGTCAAACCACAATAAGGTTTCAAAAAAGTTTCTTTCTTTGGTGTAAACCAAGAGTACTTCAGAATTACTGTGTGAAAATTAGAAGGGTTACAGTGAAAAAAAATTGATAATCTGTCCAAGAACCACAGTGCTCCTATGCATTTTAATGAAAGAGTCTTTAGTTTGTCATTGTTACACAAACGGATACGAATGTATCCTGTACTGTGAGCTCGGCGAACAGCAGCCTGAGCAGCAGATGAATGAATGAGCGTCTCGCGGAGACACTCGCGCTGCCGGCAATCGGGCGGAAACTGTCATACACTCATGCGGGGCAGCACTCACGCTGCCAGGCGCGGCAATAATATACGGCTACAGCCACCCTTCTCGGGCCCCACCGCTCTGGGGCCCCGCTGCTCTCGGGCCCAGCCGCTCTCGGACCCCACCCTTCTCGGGCCCCGCCGCTCTCGGGCCCCACCCTTCTCGGGCCCCGCCGGTCTCGGGCCCCACCCTTCTCGGGCCCCGCCGGTCTCGGGCCACGCCGCTCTCGGGCCCCACCCCAACTAAAAGAAACATTCATTATTCTTTTCACGATTTTTCAGAGTCAAATTTATCTGTTTAGCATGTTTGGAAAAAAATGTCCTACGCATATATTTGTGCACAATCTATGTGTCATGATTGTCAGTGTATTATAAATCTAAACATCTTAATATATATCTTAATTTTTTTTTTTTCCTGTTCAATGTTTTACTGTTTATGCATAAAGATTCACACAGCAAAAACGCAAACAGCATTTTTATTGATATCAGCAGCTGTCTATGATAACTTGTCAAAGTCGTGCCTACAGTAGATATTCATTGATCACTTACAATCTGAAGCATTCTTTATATTAGATGTAACATTCTCGATGTTATAATGATTTGGAAACATCTACTGCATTATCTACTGCATTATCTACTGCGGTATTCATTCTGAACACGATATATAAGATTAAAATAGTACTGAAGCAGTGGGGCCTGAAAGGGGCAGCTACAGCCAAACTGCGGCACAGTCAGAGCCACACACACACACTGCATCTGTATTTGTAAAAAAACAATAAATAGTTACTGGAAAAGCTACAGTGATTTTAAAGCAGCTGCACTACTAATAAGCTACTGGCAAGAGTAGTTAAGTTAGTAGCGTAGCTAATTGTGGTTTGCTACTTCCCAGCACTAGGTAAGACCTTCTCCAGAGGATAGGTGTCTTCAGGCTGTTACGGTAATGTGTTGCGCTCTAAGGAGTTGTAGGGTCACTGCAACCCTGGTGTCCCGAATATCGAAACACTCCAAAAGACTAACAAAAAAACGGACCCGTCTTGATTGGATTCGCAGCACAAATGTGCTGCAGACATGGCTGAGGGGGGGGGGGGGGGGGGTCCTTCTTGTACAAACGCCTGGTGGGCATTGAGCTCGTTTGCTGCTTATCCAGCCGTCCTCAACGTGCCTGGACACCCCCTCCTCTTTCCCGAAGAGTCTCCCCGATGGCACGAGAGCAGCATGTTATTCTATCCCCCTAAAAACAGCAGTCGGGTTTGAACCCATTTGCTGAAACCTATTGAACTAATTATGCCAGCGAGAGAGCATAATGCTATAAACGTGTTAACATTGATAAATAATAAATAAATAAATAAGCCGAACTGAATTACTGTGGCCAAGTACCTAAAACACTCATACCCCTAAAGACAGATAGACACCAGTCACACTGAATGTTAAAAAGCCTTCAACCAGGTCTTCCTTATCTCCCGGCTCACACTCTTTGGCTGAGCCAACTGTCCTTCAAAAACAACACTGTCAAGACATCAACCGTAGGCTCCCGCAGCTTGGGGACGGTCCCCCTCGGTTACGGTTACCGCACCGACATCACCACAGGCTTTGATTAGAGTCATCTGGCGACGTCGTGTCACACTCGAGGTCAGGGTGTTAATCAGGAAGTATGTCAGACTATCCTGTCTGCCCCGACCCTGAGACGCTAACAGGTGCCTGGGTTCTAGGTGAGTTAATACACTCATGTAATGAGGCAATTAGGATCTAATGCTTTTTACATACATATTCAACTGATGTACATATTCCTAGATATACTTAGGAAGAATGGCTTTGTAATATGATAGTATTTCTAAAATATGGAATTATTTATAAAAATATGTTTTTCACACTGCCTTATATTGCATTATCAAAGTCACAAACAAATTATAAATTGAGGAATTAATTGCTTGTGTCTATAGTAACATACATGAGGTTTTATAATTTCACATTACTGCAGTTTAAGTGAATTTTGTTCTTTACAGAACTTTATTGTTCTGTAAAAACAACTGTGAAAGCAACCTTTTATAGATATTTTCAGTTCTCCAGCCACAATCAAACCATTATTTTGGCTGTCATGTCCTTTGTGTCTGTTAGTCAGTCATTACTGAGCTGAGTTTAAGTTGCAGAATTAACATCATTCTCTTAGAGCATTAATGATCAGATGGCATTCCCAGCAAAGTGTCCAAGACATTTCATTGCATTTATTCAGAATAATATCCTGCAAAGTACTGTTACATTTGCCCTTTTCATTTCTTAATTTTACCTGTCATTCATTCGCCTACAGTCTTCTCGAAACTGGCACTGAAATTATGTATGATTTTTTTTTCATTCAGGCACAAATGCTTTCCCATTGCATAAATATTTGTTTGTATGAGCGAGATTTCATTTGCAGATGGACGTTGAGAGGCTGTGAAACAGGACTTTCTGTGAACATACATACCTGTTCCTTCAAATATGTACAGCAGCAGGATTCAACAATTAGAACAGTACAGGCAAAAGGCTTAACACTCCCCTTCCGGGAGCAGCGCCACCGTGTGGACGCAGGCTGTTCATGGCAGTTCCAGGTGGCCCAGAGCACAGCGTCCACCGAGGCCCCCAGCAGTGCCTTCTGCCGTTAAACATTAAACCAATTTTATCGATGGAAAGTCACGGTCTGAGGATATTAAGCTTAGCCTCAGCTAGCTCATGGCGTGAATATGGTGTGTAATGCACCTACTCTAGAGATCCCATACCCTGTGTGCCCACAGAAAAGCTGGTTACTAGGACCAGAACTGTGACATCACCTCCCAAATACATTCACTGGCCCGGGAAATCAGCTCTCAGCAGGAGTACCATAGTGGCTTTTCTGTCTAAGATAAGAGCTCATCAGAGGTGTGTGTTTTTGTAGTGTGCAATTGATTTTTATCCGTATTGCCTTTGCTTACTGAATTAGCAGCGCAGTTTGTGTTAATCAAGAATAGATGAGCGTCTTGATTTGTGTCGCCCTGAAAAGGCGTTCGTTACGCGGCCAAAGCTCACAGGACACCTGGTCTGGCTCTGATGTTTGGGAGTGATTGTATCTTCTTCGGCAGGCATTTATGAAGCGTGAGTGTTTCCCTGTCAACCGGAGAGACGTGTGAAAACCGCGGTACAGTCACAGACACCTGATCTAATAATTTCAACACACTGGCAGGTTGTTTATGACGTAGCGGCTCTTCTGAACACAAACAACGACGCTGGTCTCATCCTGTGGGCATCCCGTGTGCCCCTGTGTCCCCGTTCCCTTCCCAGACGCCCTCTCTGTCTCCACGAACGACGTCAGCACGCTCCCGACGGCGCACGGCATGGGCTCTCACAGCCTCCCGGGCACCAAGCGGCCCGGCAACACGCTGCGCAAGTGGCTGACCAGTCCGGTGCGGCGACTCAGCAGCGGCAAGGCCGACGGCCACGTCAAGAAGCTGGCGCACAAGCACAAGAAGAGCCGCGACGTGCGTAAGAACCCCGATGCCACGTCCCTCAAGGACTCCGACGACAGCGCCGCCACGCCCCAGGATGAGAGCATGGAGGAGGTCTGCTAGCCATCGCACCTCCCTCCCTCTCCCTCCCTCTCTCTCTCCCCCCCTCCCTCTCCCACTTCCTCCCTCTCTCTCCTTGCCTCTCTCTCTCTCTCTCCCCCTTTCTCTCCTCCTTTCTCTCTCCTCTCCCTCTCTCTCTCCCCCCCTCCCTCTCCCACTTCCTCCCTCTCTCTCCTTGCCTCTCTCTCTCTCTCTCCCCCCACCCATCTGACTGACTGCCCCCTGTTTCAGCCCCCTCTCCATGGTTCCATAATACGTTTAAACTTAAACTTCTTGGTAAATCACAATGTTGATAGTTAATGAAGACTTTAGCCTTCAGAGCCCTGAATGCACACCATAGGCTCACTTTATCACCCAGCTGCTAATCCAGTGTCGCTCACAGAAAGTCTTGGGGCGCTTGCTTAATTCAGTAAGAATATTACAAATTTATTGGTTTTATACCAAAAATCATTACTTTAGTCATTTCTTTACAATATATACAGTATATCTCACATTCTGTGTTAAAATGTTCATTGACATCAGTTTCATTAATTAGTAACACCTTTGCAACAACATCAAACACCAAACATCAGTGTTTAGTGTCCCTTTGGGAGCCAGTGACTACAATGGCAAGAACAGAACTGAATGAATCAGTCAAAAGAATTATGACACTTAATAAAAAGAAAATGTCTCTGCAGAAGGTGTGTGCTGATACGTTAAACATTGTTTGTCAATGGACTTTTGTTATGAAACCAATAAATATTTTTATTGGCAATATTTTTACTGAATTAAGACTTTATGTGAGCACTGCATATGCTTCCGGTCCAGTTACAGGCTTTCTGTTCCTGTTCGGTCTCAGTAATAAAGGCTCATGCCGGTATTTTAATCAGAGAGCAATGGTGCAGAGAAATGCTCGTTCTCCTCCAGTGGCCCCGCCTCTTGAACCCCCTCCATTTTCTTCCGAAGCGCGTGAGGAATGAAGGGCTCAGCAGCGGGACCCTGTCCAAGTCGTCCTCGTCCGGGATGCAGAGCTGCGGGGAGGATGAGGGAGAGGAGGGAGCCGATTCGGTACCCCTGCCGCCCCCCATGGCCATCCAGCAGCACAGCCTGCTGCAGGCGGAGCCCCAGGACGACAAGGTGGGCAGGGGGCGCATGTCGGACGCATCATCCTGCAGCTCCCTAAAATTCCTGACTCTTTGCTCAGTTAACACACGTCCGGTTCTGCTGCTCTGTCTGCATTTTGTAACATTATCTTATATCTCCTTTTTGTTCTTTCTTTCAGTTTCATTATATTTCCATATAGCTTTCCAGTATCGCTCCTCTCCGCTCTTACGCCCCCTGGTGTCTGCCAGCTTTATTGTTTTTTTTAGCTATGCTTTTACCCTGATAAAATCCTAATACTAAACCAAAAATCCTGCGGTCGTTAAGACAGAAAGTGCCTTAACTGAGTCTTATCCCTTCATAGGACCCTAACCCTAATCATCTGTCCCTCTCTCAGCCCCCTCCCATCAAGTCAAAATTTAGCCAGTTTCTTGGCTAAAATCTCCTGTGCCCAGTTCTCAGAGCCCCACCCAATCCCCTTTGACCTTTCCTGTCAGTACCCACGCCAGCTTGTAATTGGCAGCTAATACCTGGTGATGCTCGTCCCTAATTGGACGTTTGGGATGTCAGATGACACTACAATGGTGAGGCATTTAACATAACTACTTGTGATGCACTCTTAATATATGCGTGCTCAAGCTTTGCACTCTTTTAACATCATTAACGTCATCATAACTACAGACTTGAACATAAAATATTGTAATATCACATATAATAAACCTTTTTCTCCAAAAGTTAAACCATTTAAAGAATTTTTATTCTAAAATAGTACACCCCCCCCCAGCATTTTAAAAGAATACTAATAAATAGATAAAAACTCTGATTGTCTGTATCATTGGTGTAGAAGCCAATAACGTAACAACTGCCAATAATGTTATAACTGCCAGTAACATAACGTTATAATTTTTCCATTCTTAATGTAATAAGTTGATAATGTAATAGCAAACCAATAATGTAATACCTTTTCTGAACCAATAGCAATACGTTTTTGCCGATGATATAATATGTTATTACATTGTTGGCGTGTTACTACATTATCAACTTTTATTACATTAAGAACGGAGAAATTTATTATGTTACTGGCATGTAATTACGTTATTGGTAAAAGTTACAGAACGGCAAATGGCTTGATATGTCCCAGATTATTCTGTTCTCCTCTAACTGCTGTCTGGTGTCCTGGTCACTCTTCCATCCTGTTCACTATTTTTTTTTAACACTTTTAAAGTGATACTGTGTGTCATCCTGTTGCTCCGTTTGACTTGCATTCGCACGTATGAAAGAGAAGACTCAGAAACATCAACACGTGTCCAATTGCAGGTCTCATCCCTCGGTTTCTGGTAGACATTTTTAAATGGCTTATATGGGATATGACTTTGCTTAAATGGGGGGAAAAGCCAATAGTATGTTTACTCCTTAACAAAATGGACTGTCACTATACTCTGAGTATGGAGCGGCCATGTTTATCAGCCCACTGAACTGCTGGTGTGACTTGATTTTTCTAATATTTTGTCCCCTCTTCCCTCCTCCACGCAGACGTCCTCCCGTGTTTCCGTCCGTCCCTCCAGCTCAGAGACTCCGAGCGCCGCTGAGTTGGTCAGCGCCATCGAGGAGCTGGTGAAAAGCAAGATGGTAAGATCTGGGGAAACTCACGGACATTCGGGGGGGGGGGGGGGAGCGGCATAGCCGCGACAGTCCTGTGGCGGTCCTTTCGTCTTGCCCCCCCCTCTCTCCTGACGTAGCTGTGAAAATGTAACGCCCTCCGTGAGTGTGAATCAGCCTACCAGCTGCTCCTTTTAGCCCGAGTCGTTTGCTCTGGTTTGTCTCCGTGTTACTGAGCAGCTTTTCTCAAAACGGCAAGAACTAGAACGTCAGCAAGGTCTCTGCAGGAGCTTACCGCTCTCCACCTTGGTATTTCCTACTAGGGTGGGTAAATATAAAATTTAGAATTAAAAATTTAATTTCGAAGCGAGGATGCCCCATCTGAGTTATTAGGGCTGTGTCATGTTTGCAGCACAGAAGGTTCAGGTTGCTGGGAGCAGTCGTGGTGGTACATGATGTCCCATCTACTAGCTTGATCTCTTGAGTACAGTGTTTCACCAGCCAGGGCTGCGGGGACCCTCAGATGGTCCATGTTCCTACTCCTTCCCAGCTCCCTGTCAGACAGTCCACATTTTTGCTATCAGGAGCTGGGAGGGAGCCCGAGGACCAGTGTTTGCCCCGAGGACCGGATTGGATATCACTGGTATAGACACTGGTGCCTTGGTCCACCGTTCTCATGAGCACCTCTACTCCCCAGGCCCTGGAGGACCGCCCCAGCTCCCTGTCCATGGAGCATGGTGACAGCAGCAGCCCCTCCTTCAATCCCTCCGACAACTCGCTGTTGTCGTCGTCCTCGCCGGGGGACGAGATGGAGGAGCGACGGACCAGCTTCCTCAAGAAGCGGCAGTGCGTGTCCCTTCCTGTCCCACCGCTGATGTTTATTAATGAACATCCAGCCACGTTTGTGCTGGATTATACTAAGCCTGCCAAGTCCAGAAAAGTGTTATTTGTTTAAATCTTTTGCACCAAAGATATTTAAAGCAATGGTCACCAATCCTGCTCCTGAAAATCTGCTTTTATTATTTCCATTGTGCCATAAATGACCACTTAATGTTGTGCACGGTCCCATAACGAACAGCTTAAAGCATAAGGTAAAAAAAATACCATTCTTTGGGACTTTGCGGGCTCCGTAGAATTTCCTTTCATGGTAAAAAAGAGAATTTATATTTCTCTGGTCACGTATATGTCAACTGCATGACAACCAAGAATCAAGAATCAAAGAGCTTGCTAACAAACTGACATTGTACTCTAAAGCAGAGGTTCTGGCCTGCGACATGCATTTTTTATATCTTGGACCACCAACTGATCTTTCATTTGACAAAAAACTCATTTTATCGCCAGCACCCTGCATGTTGCAATTTATTGATGTTATATAATTTTTCTTTAAACTCAAAAATAGCTGATGGCCCCATTGGGAGTAGCCCTCCTGCCCAGTGGCTCCCAGGTTATTTGAGTTTGAGACCCCTGCTGTAGAGTTTCTCTGTAAACACACAAGTGTTGTCAGTGCATAAACAGGTCAGCAGGCTCAGTGGATCATTGTACAAGTGACTTGTGATATAGCTGCCCTTCCTGTCACAACAGTTACGTCCAGCTGGAGCTCGTTGAGACAGAGAGAGATTATGTCCGGGACCTCGGCTTCGTTGTGGAGGTCAGTTTTTCTTGTACCCCGTTTACTAGTCTGTCCTTCCCTTTGCCTGTCATCTTAAGCAAGTCACCTCATTCCTCTGTGCCAATGTTAATATCGTGTCTCCCCCAGGGCTACATGAAAAAAATGAAGGAAGAGGGGGTGCCAGACGACATGAGAGGGAAAGACAAGATCGTCTTCGGCAACATTCACCAGATATACGACTGGCACAAAGAGTAGGTGCCGGCCACACAAAGCAAATGTACAGTGCTCAGAGAAAGCCTTGGGACGTTTGCTTAATTATGTAGCAAATGTATTGGTTTTATGACAAAAATCATTACTTTATTCATTTACAAAAAATATATATCACATTAGAAGCAACCACTGCTTTCAAGCAAAACATTCATTTCAAGTAGTAATAAATTGAAACTCAAATTATAGTTCTAAAAGAGCTGTTCTGAGTTAGAAAGTCCATTGCCATGCAGTCCCATTGGGTGCTTTTAAATTAGTGACACATTTGCAATAACATAAGATACCATATATTTGTGTTTAGTATCCTTTCGGGAGCCAATGCCTACAACTGCAATTAAGCAAAATGGCCAGAACAGAACTGAATGAGTCAGTCAAAAAAAATATGACAATACAGAGGATATGTGCATTTAAGGTAAACATTGCTTATCAATGGACTTTTATTATGAAACCAATAAATTTGCAATATTTTTAAAGAATAAAGCAAGCATCCCAGATTTTCTGTGAGTAATGCATGTGTTTTGTTTGTGATTGTATTCCCCAGTTAGAGCATACATATGGTTTTGGCACCAGATCTTCACAGCCTCAGACACTTGATCTCATTAGCACAATCACTCAAGATGTATTTGTCAGATCTTTTTCAAACTTCACGGGAATGTTGTATAGAATCCGGTCTGGAAAATTGTAGCAGGTGATGGGACTGTCCTGGGAATAAATTGTTGTCATGCCAACGGCACCTAGTTTTGTATATTTCTCATTCCCTGAATCTCCTGGTTCCACAGCTTCTTCCTCGGAGAGTTGGAGAAGTGCTTGGAGGATCCGGACAGGCTGGGGAGCCTCTTCATCAAACATGTGAGAAAGAGCAACCGCACGTGCTGTGGCTGGGACCCTCCCCATCCTTCTGCCGTTGCCATACCAACCTCCGGTAGTGTGCATTTGTACACATGAACTGTGCCTTCATCTTGCAGGAGCGGAGGCTGCATATGTACATAGTCTACTGCCAAAACAAACCCAAGTCAGAGCACATCGTGTCGGAGTACATCGACACCTACTTTGAGGTGAGAGTTGCAGGTCGCTTCCCTGTGCCTCCTTCGGTCTATGCTGGCCTTCCTGTTTCCGTGTAGCTTTCCAGTGTCGCTGTTTTTGCTATTTCACATCATGTTTTTGTCTCCAGGACCTCAAGCAGCACCTTGGTCACCGTTTGCAGATCACAGACCTGCTCATTAAGCCGGTACAGAGAATCATGAAATACCAGCTCTTACTGAAGGTCAGTGTTCTTCAGATTCTTAGACAGGATACATTGCATTTATAATGTTACTGTGAATGCTGGTGTCAAGTATTATCCTATAAAGTTCTGCATTTTTTAGATATAACAGGTCATTAATCAGTTATAACCATAAAATGTCAAATCTTTTCACATTGACCCTCTTATATCTCTCTATTAGTTTGAAAAGGCACTTGAGTAATTATCATGTCTGTATTTTTTTATGTTTAAGGATTTCTTTAAATATTCCAAAAAGGCTGGTGTTGACACAGCTGAGCTAGAGGTAGGAGGCCTTTACTGTTTTTACCGTTAATTTTTAACAGTTGTTAAGTGGTTGCCGTCGTTGGCAAGGGCAGGTTTGCATGGAATATGAGTCTTGTCTTTGATGTTGGGAAAATTCAAAAGACACTCAAGGGTTTATTCTCAACAAATCTGTGCTGCAGAAAGCGGTGGAAGTCATGTGCATTGTACCGAAAAGATGCAATGATATGATGAACGTGGGCCGACTTCAAGGCTTTGACGTAAGAAGCCCTTCTATTCCTCTCATTCTTTTGGGGTGAAAACACTATTGTAAATCTCTTATGCTGCTTGTGGGAGTTTAATCTGCCGTCACTGGCTAACTACTTTTGAAACAAACAGAAGGTATACAGGTGGAATTGATTAAGAATGCATGTTCTTCAGACGTTGCTTTTTAATTGTAATGGGGAAGCAGTTTTACTCATATTTTAATGTAATATGTGGTTTTATTGTTATAATCATAATGGTCGCTAGACTATCATTGCCATGGTTACCCTAAAGTCTTTGCCTGGTCATGTGTATAGATATGCAAACGCTGTGTTTTACTTTTTCAAAATTTGCACTCCATAGCCCAATTCTCCTCCGTTGAAGCTCTCTGTGAACCCCCCCCAGGGTAAAATCGTGGCCCAGGGCCGCCTTCTGCTCCAGGACACCTTCATGGTGTGTGACCAGGACACCGGCATCCTGGCGCGCATGAGGGAGAGGCGTGTTTTCCTCTTCGAGCAAATTATCATCTTCAGCGAGCCCCTTGACAAGAAGAAAGGCTACACGATACCCGGCTATCTCTTCAAGAACAGCATAAAGGTTTACAAGATCATCCATTTTTACTAATTTTCTGTTCTTGGTTTTAAGCCTTGCTAGATGTCTGTCACTTGTTACCTACTTCGGTTGCATAGAAAATGGCAGTCAGAGTCCCCATAGCGCGCATTTTCCTACCCCTTCTTTCTCCTCCAAGCTTGCTCTTATCTGTACCCACAGGTCAGTTGCCTGGGTCTGGAGGACAGCGTGGATGGAGACCCTTGTAAGTTTGCCCTGACATCCAGGTCGTCCAACAGCAGCATAGAGCACTACATCCTCCTCTCCGCCAACCCTGGAGTGCGCCAGGTTTGGGTCCACCAGATTGGCCAGATCCTCGAAAATCAGCGCAACTTCCTTAATGGTAAAGGGCTTTCCATTCCTGATCTAAATATAATAGATGCTTTTGACCAAAGGGATGCATAAGCAAAAAAAATAGTACATTGCAAACATTCATGCAGGTGATACACAACTACTTAACTTTTAACAAAGTAAGAACCTAGCCTACTCAAGGGCCAGAAGCACAACGGAAGCGGATTCAAAGAACGTAGCGAGGCATCAGGTTAGTGGAGGAGTTCATGGAATGGATGGGTCTTGAGGCATTTCTTGAAGGTGGTGAAGGTGTATGATGACCGGACGTGATTTGTCAGATCACTCCATCATCAGGGAACCACACAAGAGAACCACCCGGAGTAACACTTCTTGCATGGTGGGGGAGTCTCCAAGCGATAATGGTTTGCTGACTGAAGGAGGCGAGATGGGACATAGGTCTTGAGGAGCCTTTTGATGGAGATGGGTGCCTGTTCAGGTTCAGAAAGTACAAATCCAGACCAAGATTTTCTGTCAACCAACCAGTTTAGTATAAATAGTTATAGTCACAGTGTACTCAACTTGTTGGATGAAACAAAATCTTGGTCTGGATTTGTACTTTCTGGACCTGAACTTTCCATCTCTGCCTATTCATTGATTGACTTGTAAGCCAGTACCAGGGATTTGAACTATGAGCACCAATAGGGAGCCTGTGAAGACAGACATGGAGGTGTGTACCATGAGAACATTTAGGTTGAACAAATATCAGATGTGCCACTGCCTATTAAATCATCTGTAGTTGTCTGATGGCATTAGCTGGTAGACCTACTAGTAGACCGTTGCATTAGTTACAGTAAGTCTCGAGGTAACAATTGCCTGAACTGGAAGCTGTGCTACATACTCAGACAGAAAAGGCCTGGTCTTCATGATTTCTTAAAGGGTAAATCTACAATATTGGGAGACACTGATATGTGCTCAACAATGTACAGGCTATCATTGGTCCCTGGCAATTGTTGATAGAGGCCATGTGGATGATTCATACTAAACAGTGGTTTCATGATGGATGGATGGATTACCAGGGAAGACAAGAAGCTCGGTCTTGGAAAAATTAAGTTGGAGGCAATGGTCCCTCATCCAGGCTGCAATATCACCTGGACATGTAGAGATCCAAGTGGAGACCATGATGTTATCAGGAGAGAAAGTCAAGTAGATCTGGATGTCATTGGGTAGTAGTGGAAGGAGAAGCCGTGACAATCTGACCTAGAGAGGCAATATGAAGAGAGATTGTAGACAGGACCAAGGACAGAGCCTTGGGGAACACTGGTTGCTACCTGATGTGATTTGGATGCCTCTGCCCCCCATGCAACTTGGAATGATCTGTCTTGATGGGTATGAGTCAAAGCAGTGCAGAACAGTTCCCGTGATGCCAAGACGAGAAAGAGTGACCAAGAGGATTTGCTAATTATCTGTGTCAAAAGCTGCAGAGAGGTCTAGCAGGATCAGGACAGATAACTGAAATGATATTGTGGCTCTCAGTGTCCACAACAGTGATGAGGGCTGTCTCGGTCGAGAGTCCTGGTCATAACACATTGGTAACTGGTTTAACCTGGTTCAGGAAGTTACACGCTGAGTCTGACTATTGCATGGCACTTAAATTTGTGTAAAATAAAGAAAAATAGCACTATCATTGCTGCTGCAGCGGTGTAGCCATGCGTGAAGTGTAAGGTGTTGCTGTTGTATGAAAAACAGGAGGTGACGCGGGGCTTTGGAAGCGATGGTTTTACCCATTCATGCATAGCATGCACACATCTTATTTGGTGTGTTATGCAACATTATGGGATGCATACAGGGTGAGACCGGTGCTGACTGATTTAATGGGGCATCTTTACACTGGGCTTGAAGGTGTCATATTCGCTTCATTAGATGTGTAAAATCATCTCTGTCCCTCCCCGTGTCCCCACAGCCTTGACTTCTCCCATTGAGTACCAGAGGAATCACGTTGGGGCAGTAGGAGCAGGCTGTCTCAGCAGCAGCGGCCCAACAGGGGGCACCAGTGGTTCAGGCATAGCCCTGGGGGTCAACATGGCCGCCGGCTGCCGCTCCAGGCCCTCACGGATCCCGCAGCCGTCCCGCATCCCCCAGCCTGTCCGCCACCACTCACCAGGGGCCGACGGGCCAGACAAGATGTCAGGTATGTCCTCCCTGCACCCCACAGCTGTGCTACCAGCTCGTGACCCAGACAGCCAAGAGGCAGAGAGGAATTTCCCAAAGACAAAGGCTCCGGTGTCCCTGCCCGACACAAAGTCAACCGAAAACAGCCTTGGGGTACCTCAAGAAGAGCTGCCAGGCCTCTTACCCCGGGGTGCGGTCGAGCCATTTGACCTCGCTAAACCCAGTCTCGCAAGTGCAGCCCCCCTGCCCTTTTTGACACAGCCGTGTTCCAGCAAGGAGGCTTTTGCCCCAGGCAGCCCAGCCCAGAAGGGCACCTCATTCTGGGGCACTCTGCCGGTCGCCCCTGTGGGTCGGCCAGTCTCCCTCATCCTCCCCTCTCCGGCCAAAGATGCTGACCGCCTGAGCACCTGCTCCTCCACCAGTGAGCAGTCAGTACAGTCAAGCCAGAGCAATGGGGTAAGAGCCACACTCAAGGCTCCTTGGCATCCTCTGTACTAACTCCTGCAATGTCCAGAAGGAGGCACTGTACCAAATGTGCTGAACCCAACTGACTTGCCTGCGATCTACGTTCTAATTGCCTTGGCTGTGCTCTCAGTGCATATTAAAAAACTTTGCTACTAACTTTTAATTGCTTTTCTTAGTTTTCTGGACAGAGGTTTACCTCCTTCTTGTGTAGTCCTCACTTTGTACCTACAGCATTAATGGAAATAACTTCAGATTGTTCTGGAAATTGGTGTCAGACTAAGACTCCTCCTCTGGACTTGCCCTTTACTCCCTGTGGAAAAGGAAAACTTATTGACCTGGTTGGTGAACCTGTTGCCTAATCTCTACCATGTGAGCTCTGCTCTGCCCTTCGCTCATGCTAATTTTGTAGTGCCTGTTCTTGATACTCTGTCTTCAGTTAGCCTTGTCAGTAGAAAACCCTCTTGCGTTTTTCTGGTTTTGTCTGGAGATCTCGTGTCACAAACCCAAAGTGTGTGTCATGCTGTGTATGGTAGACCAACGCCGACCTGCTCCTCCTGCTTCTCCCCTCGTCCAGAGTGAAAGTAGCAGCAGCAGCAGCAACATCTCCACCATGCTAGTGACACAGGACTACCAGGCCGTGAAGGAGGATGAGATCAACGTCACCCAGGGAGAGGTTGTCCAGATGCTAGCCTGCAACCAGCAGAATATGTTTCTTGTGTTTCGCGCCGCCAATGAGCAGAGCCCTGCCGCCGAGGGCTGGATCCCTGGTTACGTGCTGGGCCACACCTCCATAATCATCCCCGACCTCCCCGAGGGAACCATCAAGTAAGGGCTACCAATCCAGCTTTGGGTCCGCTGCAGGGCATATACAATTCACATACAAAGACAGCTTTTGGGTGACATTTGGAGACCGGAGTAGGCTCAGGGAAACCTGAGAGAACACAGTAAAAACGCGGGAAGAACATGCACATAGAGATCAAGGCTGGGAATCAGCAGTGGATTGCACAAGCTTAGCATAAGTTTGAGCGTAAGGTTGGGCGTAAAGTGTACTTTAAGTCATATGATGGAACTAGCTAGTTTTAAACTCGTGCCACGTTCTTTATCTTTTACCACTGCTGCTTAAGTTACATCGTAGTTAGTAGCTACTAAAAAATATTGTCACACAGAATGATGTTTTCACTATGGATAGCCAGTGAATATCATTGTCTAATTTAACCGGAACCAACACACTGTTCCACATGTTTGTTGAGTTTGGGTTATACACAACTACCGATTTGTTTTCTCTATATTTGTGAGAAGTATTTCAACCGCAGCTGTAATGAAACCCATAATGTGCCATCAAGAGCAGTGTGATATAAGAAGGGCGTTCACTAGGTAGCTTGTTCTCTACGTAGCCAAAGTTGTTTTCTCCAGATCACAGAATAAGTTATCTCTGGGAAACAGAAGCTGTACTTAGACACGACAACGGCATTTGTCATGTGAAGGCGGGAAGCGGATTCCACTAAAAACGCCATGACTGGTGCAAATTCTTTTGGGGCAGGAAGTCATCGTCCTGGCACACGGCACTCCGCCTCAGGAAGAGGATAGAAAAGCGAGAGAAGGAGGGTAAAAGAGAGAAGCTGGAACCCAGCTTCAGGAGATCCCGGGATGCTTCAGCCAACAAAGTGTCTGTGAAGGTAATGAGGACCCAAACCTGACTTACTTCATTAAATAGCTGAACTGCTCTAATAGTTTTTGGGGATATGCTTTTGCTTGTGTTTGTAAATAATAAAATACATTTAAAATGGAGTATTCTTACTATATTCATTCATTGTCTTGCTTTGCTTTCAGCTTCTAAATCCGAACTACATCTATGATGGTACGTATAAAAACAGTTTATCCGACAACGCTATGCTTGCTAACACCCTTGTTAGGTAACAACATTCTGCACAAGGTCACACCTCTCTCTCTCTTTTTTCTCTCGCTCTGTCTCACGGGCAGTTCCCCCAGAGTTCCTCCTGCCTCTGAGCGACGTGACCTGCGAGAGCGGGGAGGCCGTCATTCTCCGCTGTAAGGTCTGCAGCAGACCCAGAGCGGCCGTCACCTGGAAGGGACCTGACCAAAATACTCTGAGTAACAACGACCGCTTCAGCACCATGTGCAGGTGACGCCCAATTCCCCCAGGCTCGTTAAAAATACTGCAGTGCTGTAAACGTTATAGCTGGTTTGGGGTAGTCGAAGAGCTACACTTTAAAGAACCTTTAAGGAATCGTTTTGGAGGTTTCTGCTGTTGTACAGTCAGTCCCCTTACAATGCTACTAATGCGTTCGTGAAAAACTTCCCATTCGCATACTAAAATAAACATATGCAGTGGGGAAAACGGGGTTACTCGAAAACTTAGTAATTTACGCCAAACAAACTGAATTAAATAATAATAACAGTGGCCAATAATATAATTATATGCATTTTAAATAAGAAATGATAATATATTCATAAATGATATCATAAACATCTCCTATGAGTCTTATGAGTCTCACAAGAATTGACTAGCAACTGCTTCGACCAAACGTGCTAAAGTCGCTAACTTTCGGGAGTCGTGCGCAACAGCCACCGTGCTGCCGGGTTCTGAAGGCAAAATGGCCACGAAAAGCAAATGTAAGTGAATTAAAGAAGTCTCTGTGTGTTTTTATACGATCATTTGTCAAATATTTTTAGGATGTAAGACCTGTGCAATGCGTGGATGTACAATAAGTTCAGTTCTTTTAGATTTCAAAACCAGTTCGACTGATTCACTGAAAAGAACCGGTTCAGGATTTGTGCACAAATGAGACATCAGTATAGCTGTTTTTGCATGCAAGTTAGTGCTTTTCTCTGCGACTGAAAATAGTGAAAATATAAATGCAATGTATTGGACTTCTGTACTAATATATTAATCGCATTACAACAGATTCGTGCTGTGATATCAAGCGTTGTAATGGGACTAACTGTACCTTTTGTTGGGGCTCTTAGTTACTTTAATACCAATTTCCCAAATGATTCAGGTCAAACACTTTAATATAGATGTCAGTTCTCATCAGGTACCATAATGGATTACATACAAAATGATTTGTGACTTACAGTATGTCTGATTTGCTTGTTTACGTTAGGTTTTATTCAAAATGGTGGCTATATTGTTTGTGCTGCAGGTCTCTGTTTTAGTAATCCTCTACCTCCCTGTCCCCCTCTCGCCCAAAAGTGATGCTGGGGAGGCTGAGCTTTGTATCCAAGATGTGTCTATAGAAGACGACGGCATGTACACCTGCGTCGCCGCCAACGATCTGGGCACCGTGTCGACGTCAGCCAGCCTCAGAGTATTAGGTGAGAGGCACTACCCAGCCAAGACTCAGTATCCCAGAATGCCTCAGTGCCTCCCTGTGAATGTCTCAGGAAATGCATGCTTTGTCAAAAAACAGTGGAACAACTATAATACAGACAGAGTGAACAGTGAGTCATGGTTAACAGAAAAGGAAATACAAACCCCGCTATGATTTTAGGTACATCCAGTGACGGAGTCAGAGTCACGTGGAAGGACAACTTTGATTCCTTCTACACTGAGGTCTCAGAATTGGGGAGGTAGGTATCCCTAGTGCCATGACAGCTGTGCTGTGCTTTTCCATAAGACTGCACACGGTTCTTCTTTGGCTAGCGGTCGTGTGTCTGTCAGTCCTCAGTTCCCTTTTGCTCGTGGTCCTTTGCATTCTCAGCTATGCGTAGTTGACTGGGTCATTGGCTGTAGCAGATGAATCTGTGGGGCCAGGCCCTATAACTTCAGGATTATGGATTGCAGTGTGCAATAATCTAAACCACCGGCAACAGGCAAGAAGTGCTCGCAGTCTGGCTGTTAAAATTAAACTTTATTTGCCATTTGTAGAGGTTCATTGTAATGTATTGGTTCCCACACATTCCATTTTGCTGTCTTTTTTAAGATGTATAGGTAACACTTTACTTGACGGGGCTGAAATAATATAGTATTATACTATTACTTATGTATTAATTAACCATAAACTAAATCTTAGTTACATACTGATCTCATGTTAATTCATCATTATTTAATCATTACAGTTTATCTCAAGTAGTTACTGTATTTGTTGCTATATCTGTTATTTCAGTAAACCTTTCTAAACTACTGATGGAACAAGTAATGAATAACACAAGTGAAATATTGATGTCATGTTTGTTTATAATTGAATCGTGATGCATCTTTTACCTTAAGTAACTATATTTGTTCATGATTTGTTCATGATTTGTACTTCAGTAATAACTGAGTCTACTGGATATTTGTGCCCCGTCAAGTAACATGTTACCGACACATGCTGTAGAGGCGAGAGTAAAGCTTGGTGTCTGAGTGCAAGGTCAGCTGGCATCTCAGGTTAAGGACTCAAAGGAAGACGGGGGGGGGTGGGGGGGGTTGTCCCTCATCAGTACATTTCTTTTGAGGTGGGGGGGAGCTGTCTCTGCCATCAGGAAGCACTTATTCTGCTGAGCATGGGATTCGAACCGGCTACATTCCGAGGGCTCACCCACTGAGCCACACTCTGTCCCCCTGCACAGGATGTCCGTCCTCAGTCCTCCGCTGTCTCTCCAGGGGCAGGTTCTCTGTGGTGAAGAGGTTCGAGCAGCAGGGGACGCAGCTCTCCGTGGCGGCCAAGCTGGTCAACAAGAGGCTGGTGAGGCGTGACCAGGTGACCCGCGAGCTGCGTCTGCTGCAGCTGGTACAGCACCCGCAGATCCCTGGCCTGCTGGACACCTTCGAGACGCCCACCAGCTACGTGCTGCTCCTGGAGATGTAGGTGGAGCCGCCCTGGTCCGCATGAACGCGCTACGTCACACGCCACCACACGGATGCTGGATGTGTACTATGCAGGTTCACAGCCACACGAAAGACATTGAAAGACAGGCAGTCTGCATGTTTAACCTCTGCTGTCAACGTCACTATATTATATAAAATATTACATTATACTCCTTTGCAAACTAGCATGTCATCCAGGGTGGACCCTGTCTTGTCCCTTGTCTTGTCCCTTGTCTTGTCCCTTGTCTTGTCCCCTGTCTTGTCCCCTGTCTTGTCCCTTGTCTTGTCCCTTGTCTTGTCCCTTGTCTTGTCCCTTGTCTTGTCCCCTGTCTTGTCCCCTGTATCTCCTGGGATAGGCTCCTCACCACAAACCCTTAAGGAGATAAGGGGACATGTTTTAGACTTATACTGTATCTACCACAGATAACCTGCAGGTCACATTTGTACCTGCTGTTTCTTGCTAAGCCTGGTTCCTTTGCCTTGATGACAGCTTTTTGTTACTGATTCCTTTGCTGCAGGACAAACACACACTCAGTACTCACAAACAGTACTCACAGAAAGTCTTGAGACATCTGCTTAATTCAGTAAAAATATTGCAAATATTTGGTTTTATTTAAAAAAAAAAGCATTATTCAGTTACAGTTGCATTTAATAGCATAATGGCAAAAACAGAATTGAATGAGTCAGTAAAAAAAATTATGAGACTTGAAAAGAAATTGTGCAGATATGTTAAACATGTCTCGTCAATGGACTTTTGTTATGAGACTAGTAAATTTGCAACATTTTTACAGAATCAGTCGAGCATCCCTTGACTTTCCATGGCTGCCGTATATTGCAGTAACTCAGCAGGACTGACATTTACACAAACATGGCTGTCCTTTTAGCAGTAATCCCCCCCCCCCCCCTGCTCTGACCTCTGGCCCTGTCTGCTCCCAGGGCCGATCAAGGCCGTCTGCTGGATTACATCGTCAGCTGGGGCGATCTCACAGAGGACAAGGTGGCTCTGTACCTGAGGGGCATCTTAGAAGCTTTGCAGTACCTGCATAACTGCAGAATAGCTCACCTGGACCTGAAGGTCAGTATGCTTTATAGTATGGTTCATACCAGGGTTCCCCAAATGGACCAGTCTGCAACATAGTTTGCAAATTTCCCTTTAAAGTAGTGTTCCCTTCCTTGCCCTGCACATGTCACTTTCACATCTGGTCATTGAGTCCTCGTGTGAGGGTATATCCAATGCTCTGCCCTTCCCTGTATCCCACCAGCCTGAAAATGTTTTGGTGGACCAGATGTCTGGCCAGCCAGTGGTCAGACTCGTGGATTTTGGCGATGCGGTGCAGCTGAGCAGCAATCCCTACGTTCACCCGCTGCTGGGCAGCCCCGAGTTCGCCGCCCCTGAGCTGATCCTGGGTCAGCCAGCCTGCCTGGCCTCAGACATCTGGAGCCTCGGGGTCGTCGGCTACGTCATCCTGAGCGGAGCCTCGCCGTTCCTGGACGAAAGCCTGGAGGAGACCTGCCTCAACGTCTGCCGGCTGGACTTCAGCTTCCCGGAGGACTACTTCAGGGGCGTCAGCCGTGCAGCCAAGGACTTCACCTGCTCGCTCCTGCAGGGCAGCCCCACCAAGCGGCCCTCTGCGGCCCTCTGCCTGCAGGACCCCTGGCTGCAGCCTGGGAACTATGGCAGCACAGAGCGCATCGACACGTCCCGGCTCGTCTCCTTCATCGACCGGCGCAAGCACCAGAACGACGTTCGGCCCGTCGGTGGCATCAAGGCCTTCCTTCCCGGCCGAATCCTCCCTCAGAGCTGATGTGTGGCACAAGCGATCTCATCCTCTTTCACCTGCCTGGCAGATTTTAAATATCCTGGCGCGATTCAGTCAGCCTGCTCCACGCTGACGTGATTCCCCTTTCCAATATACAACAAACTGTCAGATGACAAAAACGTAATTCCTTTATGCTGAATACCTGCAAAAAAAAAGAAAAGAAACCTTAGTCGTGTTTTTTAAAAGGGCAATTTGGAATTAACTAGCATGGTGGAGAAATGCTGCTTCTCTGAAGATGGACACAGACAATATCCTTTTAAGCTACTTACGGAGAAGAAAAAACAAACCTCTTTTCAACCAAACTCCTTTTGTAAATAGATACTGTATAGGGATGACCCTCGTGTGCAAGCTATTTGGATCTGACTCAGCTTTTTAATAGCCTGGCTTGTTTGATTGAATCACTGCAATTAGGGAAAAACAAAACAACAGCAGTTACAGGTTTCAACTTCTGCTAATCCAGTGTTTGTACTTGAAGACAAATGTATTTTGCTTTTACTAGAACAAAAATGTGTTGCTCAGAATTAAGACGTATTGACCTTATTTTGTACAAAGATTGTATCTGACCGGTTTCATTTGAAAACAATTCATAGAAGCAGGAGTCCCGGCAACGGGACAGATTTCTGTGGATGTGGAGAATAGAGCGACACTACTTAATGCTCGGCTTCTGGAAAACAAAGGTCATAATCACATACTGTTTATGCCCTTGTTGTGTTTTCATTAATATTATGTGCAATGTTGCAACAACTTTGTCGTTTTATGCAACTCTTAATGAAGACTTCTATTGAACCTGTAATAAATGTATAGAAAATCGACATAATTGGTACTGCAGACTAAACCGTCGTTTGTGCTGCGTTTGAACTGTAACCTCGTTTGATTCAGTATTATTTCCTTGAGATCTCTATGTTGATTTCTTGGACGGTGAATATCATTTGGTCTGTATGGCACCTAGGGTTTGACTTTTCATTTTGATAGCTTTACCAAAGTTTTAGAGTTTCTTAAATTGTAGTTTTTGTTTTGTTTTGTTTTTTTTTTCTGTATGACATCATGTTAACTTAAGTTATGAATGCCATAATGAACTTTGGGAAGTATTGTTTACATTTGTTTCACATGCTTTATTTATTTTTGTAACAAAGTTGCATATAATTTGCTTTTCATTAACTTTTTATGCCATCAACTGCAAAAAAAAAAGTCATTGCAGTGTAATTTTATCTAATTTCAAGTAAATTATTATAATGTTAAAGCTGTCGTTCATCTGAATGTGAGTGTTTTGAGTGAGTTAATGTTGGAGAAAAATAAGGCCTTTTAAGTTATTTATACAAATAAGCCCAAATATTATTTGTGAAATTAAAAACCCAGAAACTCTACTATTAAAAAATTGACTTTACCAGTCAGAGAGTACTAATGATATTTATGCTAGATTCCAGCTGCTATAATCCTTGGAGGAGCAAAAAAACAATTAATTCTGACCCTTCAGTTGGTTAGAAAATTGTGAAATGCAGATGGTTTAAGTGCCAGTTTATTGGGAACAGCATAGAGGAGATAAAGCAGAGGAGTACTGTATGCCTGAAGAATGTTCTCCTTCCGTGCCGGAAATGTAACACATTGGATTTGTGTGTGTGTGTGTGTGTGTGTGTGTGTGTGGCCCCATGTTATGGATATTATTTATATTTGTCATTACAATATAAAACTGTACAGGCACTGATAAACACCAGACATGACTGGATGTGTTTTTTTCCTTTCAACCTCATTGGTTTTTTTATGTTTTATGATTTTTTTTTTTTGGCTTACTTGTTTTTTGCATGTGTATTCTATGTATACAGACCATGGGTTTACACTAAATGTGTTGTAAATATTTTTTTTTGCCATCAGTTATTTTAAAATTTAACATATGCAACATACTTGTGACAGCTCTCATTTTTTTAATTTGGTCTGTTTTATGATTTACATGCAACTCCCTTGTGGAAATGGAGTGAGGATCTTTTACTGCTTAAAACTAAACAATATTTAACAAAGGCAGGATATTTAACTAGTTAACAAGCACCGGCTGGTAAGTATGAAAAAGCTGAACGCCTTTCTGCTGTCTTGTTTCGTTTTATTATCATCGTGGTGGTATTATAAGTTAGTGACCACTGTATGAAATTATCATGTTTACAGCATGTGCTTTATTTCAGAATTTCAAATATATCCATCTTTTAAGTTACCTCTTCAATTAATACTTAATTTCAATTAATTTAAGAGCACTCATTATTTTCATCTCAAGTCAGAAGTCTATTAGGATCTCAATAATATCAAAATCGTCACAGACTACAGCTGAGGAATATTGGATTGGAAGGCAGTGCCTGAAGCGTCACTAATACCAGGAATTAAAATATTAATTTTCTTCTGCTTAGACACACATAGAAACCTAGGTTAACCTTTAAAATATGATTTTCCTGCCAGAAAAGCAGAAGTGATGCAGTTTTCACGGACAAAACATTTGTCGTTTTACCTCACGGTTCCCTTCTGTGTGAGGTACATTGACTCAGATGGAAGAGATTTTACTATACTGATATTATGTTACGACTGTGGTCGCCAAACAAAATGGCATTTATTCACATTCTTTTCAACATTCCTTTACACATAGGACTGGGCAATATGGCGAAACATTTTATTAAAATATTGCCACCCTGTCTTCTATGCCCAGTGGACGTCATGCGCATCCGTGTGATTTTACTACACATGTGTAAGGAAAATGACTAGGTATTCCCAATAGGTGGCAGCACTGATATTGATAGACCAGAGGTCAACGAAGAAAAGAGAAGAGACGAAGAATAGTTGTTGTCATAGGAGGTGCAGAGGTACTCCTGTAACTAGTTTTTCCATACTGTCTGGACATCATACTGCAGTATACTGTATTTTAAAAAGGAAAACTATTTGGCAATTTGAAATTCATTGGGGGAAGGGGGGGGGGTCCCAGCTAATTTTGTTGCAATGATTTCAAAATGCTGCGGTATGCTGTATTACCATATTACCACCCAAGCCTAATAACAACTTTAAAACTGTTCAGAAAATATTTACCGTCTGCATCCACAGACATTGTAGTACGTGTAGCACATGCGGAAGAGTGAACGAGACTTAACCCAGTTAGCCACACACCACCCCCGATACAAATCGCAATGCACTGAGTTGTGACACTCGTATCATGGTGAGTATTGCATCCTGGGCTAGCTGGCAATACCCAGCCCTAGACCAAATACCTAATAAACCCATGTAGCACTCTTTTGAAAGAGGAAAGAAAAACATATTCACTTGTATTTTTGTTTAATTTATATTATTACTCAAGTATAGTCAGTTTCAAGATTACAGGGAAATCATCTTAAAGCATGATACAGGGACAATGAATTGCTACATTAAAATGAACTAAAAATCTACATGGTGCTAGGTAATCCTAGAAGCAGCCATACCGGGTTTGCATACACTGGCCTCCACCATAACTCTAATTGGTAAGGTTCTCTTCTTAGTGTTATAAAAGACATTTTCTCATTTTTCACTTAACTATTTTGTTGTGTGAAATTCATTGGAAGTAGGGGGTCGCTTTTTCAATTTGCAAATATAAGAAACCCAGAGAATGTTGTGTCATCATCTTCATCGGCAAAAAGCCCATTGTACAGTTCTCCCCCTACCACCTGTAACCAAACCTTGTCTCCAGCCTCCAAGTGCAGCACAGTGCCCCCTGCTGCCTGGTCCTCCCCGTTCTGGTATATGTCCATGGTGTGAATAATGCGTGCTCCGTTTCTTACCAGGGCCACCTTCACATTACGAGAGTACACCGTAATGTGGTAAGTAAAGTAGTATGCCCCAGCAAAGGCGCAAGAGAACCGTCCCGTTTGGGCATCGTAGTGCCCTTGCTGGTTATAGATGATCTTATCAAAGCGGATGGCCGTGTTTACTGGGGGCCGCTTGCTGTGATCTGTCAGGCCCACGGAGAATGCACTCTTAGGTATGACGGGCATATCTCCAACAACCCCTTTCTCTCCTTGGTCTCCTCTGTCTCCTTTCTCCCCTTGGAAGCCTATGCTTCCTTTCTGACCAGGAGCACCAATGTCTCCTTTGATTCCAGGACGCCCCGTGGGACCAGAAGGCCCAATGACACCCCTCTCTCCTTTTATCCCAATTGGCCCACGGTTACCCTCCGGCCCCTGGGGCCCTTCTTCGCCTTTCACCCCCCGAGAGCCGGGTAACCCCAGCTCCCCTTTGTCCCCTTTGAGCCCCAGGGGCCCAGGTACACCTTGGGGCCCCATCTTCCCAGGCCATCCCCGCTCGCCGTTCTCCCCTCTTTTGCCCTTCATGCCCGATAGCCCTGGATCTCCTGCAGATCAGGGGAACAAAACCAGGACTGATCATCAACCACTTCAGCTTTCATACATTAACCAAGCAAGTCCTTACTAGCAAACTGTAACACAATACTGGAGCATAACACCCTTTAACAAGAATAGAATGTTGTATATTCAAAATGTATGCAGTGCTCACGGAAAGTCTTCAGATACTTGCTTAATTATGTAAAAATGTTGCAAATTTATTGGTTTCATAACGAAAGTCCATCGACAAGCAATGTTTAACGTATTTGCACATATATTCCGCGCAAACATTTTCTTTTTATTAAGTGTTATAATTTTTTGACTCATTCAGTTAAATTCTGTTCTTGCCATTTTGCTGTTAATTGCAATTGCAGCCATTGGGTCCCAAACACAAATATTTGGTGGGTTTTTTTGTCATTGCAAAGACATTACTAATCAAAAAGCACCCAAGCATGCTGCATGTCAATGAACTTTTTAACTCAATACCGCTCTTTTAGAACCGTAATTTGCTTCAATTTATTACTACTTGAATGTTTTACTTAAAATTACTAATTTCTAATGTGATATATACTTTTAGAAAGATATGAATAAAGTGATCATTTTTGTTAGAAAAACCTATTCATTAGCAATATTTTTGCTTAATTAAGGAAGGATCCCAAGACTTTTTATGAGCACTATGTATCTCATTTAGTGTAACCATACTTACTTTCAAAGCCAATGTTTAAACTATTTCTATTGTCTTGTTTTCAGTGTTTAGGAGATACAAAATTTAATGCATTAATAGAACTATATTTGAAAGATATATGATTATTTTAGAGTATTACAAATTTCACTTGGTACAGTTTCCTTTTACATGGTATATGAAGCTGCCTGCATTCCCAAATACAGAGGTGTTTTCCACCTGGGTCTCCTTTGGGTCCTTTGGCACCCTCTTGCCCACGTAGGCCATCTGCGCCAATGACACCTTCAACAGAAACGGTGGTTGTGAACTAATACACAATCAGTCTCACTATGACAGTAGATAAAATGCAGCCAGAACAACCAGCCACAACTGGTTTATTATTAACACTGACCAATGGTTCATATCTACTGCTTGACCTCCGACAATGAAAGATGTTTCTCCTTTTACCTTGATCCCCCTTTTCCCCTTTCACACCATCTCTGCCGTCGCGACCCGGCGCCCCATTATGTCCGGGGTCGCCTGGGATCCCGGGGTATCCACACACGCAGCCGCCTCCCTTGACGTCATCCGGCAACACGCCCACCGGGGCTAAAGTCAGCAGGAACCACAGGAACGGTGTGGTCACCATAGTCACAGATACTTCCCCTAACCCTACGAGCAAACTCTCACACTGGAGGCTGAAGGTGTAATGCCATGCCCTGTGTATAACCACCACACAAAGAATCTAAGGGTCAACCCAGCTTGGTAGCCGTACAGTTATATAAATGTTCAGTCTAACCTAGTTATACTGTATCTCTGGTTCCTCTTTACCTTGAGATAATGATCAGCTAGGAAAACCCTCAACCCACAGAAATTCACTGCTGAATTCTGCAGAATGCCTGCTTGTATATCTGACTCAGGTTCCTTAAACAGCAACGGAATGTTTTATGAAAACTATGACAAGCATCTCCTCATTTGATAAAGAAACAAGGAGCGAGAACTACCATGGTTGGGGAACGATTCTGGGTCATTCTATAATTAGTTGATTTCGCATTATTTTACCCCAAAATGTACATCTATTCTTACACAGCACTCACACAGTTTACCAGTGTCAAGTGATAGTAATTTTACTCATAATATATATTTGTCTTAGAACTTACTAGTAACATAGTTGACAGTGTAGAGACATATTTGACACAAGTAACACAGTTAACAGGACATCAAAAAGCAGAAAGGTATGTATGAGCATATGACCAAGGATTTTTAATAAAAAATAATATTTTATTCAGACTACAGTGATTGAGTAATTTATTTAACTTATTTAACTAAGTTTAATGTTTTACCTAAAGTATAACCTTTAGATTATTGTGTAGCGCTAATACAGAATAATTATGGTTTTGGGACAGGTCCATCACCTCTTCCACAGACACTTATCTCATTAGAACAACAACTCATAAAGTATGAGACAGATCTTTCCAGATCTTTGCACAACCATTGATTTGGTGAAGATCTGAATCTTCTTTCAAACTTTGAGACAAATTACACCAAAGCTGAAGCAATGCTACTCACTGGCAGCAAAGGAAAGGGTGACCACAGAAGACACAACCTTGTGAACATGATAACACAGTAACCCTAAAAGTATTAAATGGATCTTTATCAAACTTCTCAGGAACATTTTATAGGTGCTGATCTGAAAAAAAGCTGAAGCAATGCTACTCACTGGCAGCAAAGGAAAGGGTGACCACAGAAGACACAACCTTATGAACATGATAACACAGTAACCCTAAAAGTATTAAATGGATCTTTATCAAACTTCTCAGGAACATTTTATAGGTGCTGATCTGAAGCCTGTGTCATTTTAAGACAAATTGCACCAAACCTGAAGCAGTGACACTAAGTGATGGGTCATGAATGAACAGACACAGCTTGAGTGAACGAGGTCAGGCCATCCTCATGACTAGTTCTGAGTGAAGTTCATTTTAACCAATGACTTCAAAGGAACTGGATGAATTATCATCCATTTATGCTCATCAGATTATTTTTAATCTTTCGCAATATTGCTGTTGCTTTTTTGTAACGGATAATCTTGCCATTTTCTTGTTACACAAAGAAGTTCCTCACTTATAATGCAGTAGTTAAACAGTTATGCTATTGTTTGTTATATATAGTGTATTGTAAAATATTGTAAAATAGTTGAGTGATCCCTATTTACTTCATTTCTTCTTTTTTCCAAATGGCAAATGTGTAACTCTTTAAATCTGTAAGAATGTATGATCAGTGTTAGCAATATTACTCTTGGTCCATCAGGCTACCCTGACTGGATAAAAGAATTGACAGGTAACACGCGAACATTTAAAACATTTTTGACCTACTTTTCTCCGCATGCAGGCGTGGAACTACCCATCATGTGGGATCCTTGGAATAGCAATCATATAAATATTACATTTTATCAGTGTTACTAGTAGCAATATTGCCCATTTCAAAATCCAATCTTGACCTAGATGCAACTTTTTAACAAATATTTGTACAGAAAAGATAGGACTTTCCTTAATGGTATTCAAGCATTTTCAGTAAATTTTATCGGGAGAAGGTGGACCTTGGCTTTGCGTCGTTGATGGAATTTGGACCTCGGGGAAAATTGTTGAGTACCCCTTCTATAACCAATAATTTTACCGCTTAATTTTTGACCACAAGAAGGTAGAGAAAAGTGGGGGATCTGTATCGTGACAGCTGCCAAGAAAATGCATCAAGAGGAGAATATAATGAGTTCTCGCACTATTACTATTAGTAACTACACTGTCTCCGTTTGAAGTACAAAAGAAAAAATTAACTAATAAGTATAAAACTAAATGACATAGACATACCCAATAAAGTGTGATTTAAGCATTAGACTATGGGGGACAATGGGGGGATTATGTATTTTTGTACGTTTATATTATTAATAATGTTTATTAATTTTACCCTAATAAATCATTTTATCCATTGTATTTTGAACGTACACCGTGCAGTTATTGTAGTAACGCAAAAGTTTTGCGGACTCGTTTTTTATTATTCCATTCTGTTTTTCGACTCCCATGTCCCCTTAGGGACACCGTAGGAGCTGTAGGGCTACCCTCGATCATTCTCTTTTCTAACCAATACCGCCCTCTGTTGCCCAGTTGACCTTATGAACAGTCTTTTTCAGCAGGTCTCATACCCGGTTACAGAATAGACTACGGAGGCGTCCCAATGTGGTAACTGTCTTTTACATGCAAAAAGTGTTTATAATCCCGATGCATAGCTTCATTTATGCCGTAATATTAATTGTTTTATTAAAAGTGTTTACGAAACCTTCCTCTGTATGGTCAAACAAATAGCTAAGTTGCTTTTTGCTGAGAGATAATTGTTATACATTAAACCCTTTACGTTTATACAATGAAAGATAATCGATAACCCAAATTCAATAATTTACTAAATGCTTTGTTTTGTTGATCGGTGGTACAGTATTGGATTAACAGCGTGTGGAGGACATGTTCATTCGGCACTTACTGTCCAAGTCGTTTTTGGGAAACCCTCGTATTCTGCAACTGCACTCGGTGAGAAGCTCAATCCCGTATTTCTTTTATATCAATGAGAAGTTGTTTGCATATTACCTAATATCATATAGCCTATTCTCCTTCTTTCTGTTCCTTACCTCTTTAGTGAATGATTAGGAAGGATTTGAAGCTGACGGTACACTTTTCGGAACATTTTTTGTCTGGTTATTTTTAATGTTTAAGTCCTTATTTAAAAATGATTTGAGGACTTCGACTGCTTGTTGAAATGTGTAACAAAATTGTGACGATATGTCAGTAAAATCGTTGCTGTTATGTTTCTTTTGAGGTCATGGAGAAACCTTGCGTGCTGGCGACCACATTTGGAGCCCCTGGAGCGATCTACCAGTGTTTCGCCCCTGTTATTGAGAAGCATTTCACAGTTATCCCCCATGAAGAATTTGTGAATAACAAGCATCACTTTGCACATAAGATTAGTGCAGTTTTTGTGTGGGGAGGCGCACTTAAAGTGGACCGCAATCTACTGCAAATCTTACCTAACCTGAAGGTAGTGGTAAATGGCGGCGTGGGTGTGGATCATCTCGATATACCCCTGATCAACAGTTTTGGGATTAAAGTTTGCAATACCCCTCATGTTGTGGACAACGCAACGGCTGATATAGGCATGGCTTTAATGTTGGCAACAGCACGAAATCTCATATATGGTAAATATGAGGAAATGCTTGTATTCAAAACTGGGGCCAGTGGGGGCTTGCTTGATCGAGTACTCTGACAGCTTCAGGCGGCCCAGCGCTTTACAGGGATCCTTAACGTTAAAGTATCTTACGTAGGCGAACCAGTATTTCTAGCTACCCCCCTGTTTCCGAGTCTATTGTACACAGCTCCACTGTGTGCTACCTATGAGTGAAATTATCTATTTCCTTTTCCTTTTGAACTCTTAATTCTCCTAAAACTCACGGTGAAAGTAATTTAGCGATATTTTTTTTTGCAGGACACAACTACTCTGCCTCTCACGAAACGGAGGAGTGGGATTTGCCTGAGAGCAGCATGGGCACGGATGTCAGTGGAGCCACCCTCGGCATCATCGGCATGGGAAGGATCGGATACAAAGTGGCCAAACGGGCTAGTAGCTTTGAGATGAAGATCCTGTACCACAACAGGAACCGTAGGTATGGTGTGACAGCGCACGCCAGCTGATAAAAGATGCCCGTCACGTTACAATTTGCTTAATAATTTAGGTCGTTTTTAAATAAATAAATTTTCGTGAAGTTTATCTGCGCAGCACCGAGTAAAGCCATGGTTATGTAGAAAATAGCCCATTCCCCACAAAGAGTACATTTGTTTTTTCAATATTAAGTGAAATCGCTGGCCGGTGCTTATTGTCCGGATAGCTGTTTTGAAACACGATCTATGTAAATATGTCGTCTTCTTTTTATAACCACACTTAAACTTTTTCTACAGGAAAGAAGAGGATGAGAAGGCAGTGGGGGCAGTTTACTGTGAGAAGATGGATGAACTGCTGCAGAAGTCAGACTTTGTCATGGTTGTGGTCAATCTGTCCCCTGATACACAGAAGCTGATTGGCTGGAGGGAGCTAAGCATGATGAAGCCATTAGGCACCCTCATCAACATCAGCAGAGGTATCATGGCAACATGAGTAATGAAACTGCAGCACTACTGCATTACTCTTCCTGTTCAAATGACTGCCATATACTGCCCAATGTACTTGCTGGAAGTGACTTCCTCAAATTCTCACTTCATCACCTGTGATGCCATACAGTATAATTCTGCATACTGAAGATCTGACAGTTTACAAAATACTGCAAGAAAGTAACTGAGCCTTGTCACCTGTATGTCCCTGCATTTCAGTCTTTCACAGTTGTTAAAAAAAACATTATTAAAATGTAACCATGCATGGAACAATATTCTGGTCACATTTCCTTAGCTGTGTATGATTTTAATAAACTCATTTTCATTAATATCCACACACCTGAATTGGACTAAATTTTATACTAGCAAAAAAAGTACTGTTGTACTGAGAAAGCTGTTGTAGCATGTGTGTGTTTTTTCTCTCTAGGCCCAGTAGTTGATCAAGAGGCACTAGTACATGCCCTTCAGAGTGGAGTGATTCGAGCTGCAGCCTTAGACGTGACATACCCAGAACCTCTTCCAAGGTTAGTGCTACGAAAATATACCTTTAAACTAAATAGCACAGGTTTTCATGACAGATGATATACCACATTATTGGCTTAAAATTAATGGTGTTTCATAGTATCTCCAAGTCTACAATGATAAGGATGTTTCTTCTGTTTTTTTGTTTTTTTTTTATATATATGTTGTTCTGTTTTTTGCCGGTGACGCATTTCGTCTGTCAGGAGCCACCCCTTGCTGACCCTCCCCAACGTGATTGTGCTGCCCCACATGGGCTCCCACACTGTGGGGACTTCACAGCTGATGGTGGAGAGGATGGTAACCAATGCCTTAGCGGCACTGAGTGGGGACCAGCCTACTGATGAAGTTAAGGCCTAGTGTGACAGAAGTATTCTGCACGAGTCTGGAAAAAGAACTTGCTTAGTTGACCATTAAGTTACAAAATTGAAATAAATAAGGTCATTGCCACAACCACAGCTGGAAATGTGTTGAACACCCAGACTGTGGTATTTGCACATTAATCAATATATTATAGGCAGAGTTGGGTAATTCAGGTCCAGAGAGTAAAATTCTAAGCCGGATTCTAGATTTTCTTTCAACCAAGCAGCTGAGTACTCAGTCACTGTGACTCTTTATGCTCAACTGGTTGGTTTAAACAAAATCTTGGTCTGGACTTTTACTCTCTGGGCCTGAATTACCCAACTCTGTTTGTAGGTATTAGCAATGTATCAGTTGAGGTTTTTCATTAAGTGAATTAAAGTTTTGTAATTTCAGACCAGATTTTACACTTTGTGAAAGCTTTCATGGCATTCTGCACTCTTGAAATTAAAATATGATGCCTACTTATCAAATTTACATTTTTTTATTTACCAATGAATGCTGTAGAGTAATCACTAAATTCTACACAATCTCGTGCTTTTTGGAACACCTGACCTCAGTTACCCCCTTGTAAAGTAGTCTGTATAATAGAACGTTACTCTTTTTGCATCAATGACCTCGATTAAACCCTTTGTTCAGTAATGGTGTTACATCTAATTTTTGCTCTTGCTGTCTGTATGTTCAGAATCGCACCCTTCCCAGCATACATGCTTTTAAAGTGTTTAACAAGGACACATTATTATCATAACTGTTTATGTATTTGTATTTATTATTTTACTGAAGTACCTTAATATGTATTTGTTTTGTGTTTGCTGGTGACCCGAAGGATATGCAGTGAAAGATTTTCGCTTATAGAGTGACTGATTACAGCGCATATTGTTGTACATTAACTGTAGTCTTGAATTGTGAAACCATGACAGGATAAACGATGTGATCGGGTGGCAGGGTGGATGATGGATAATCGAACTTGTGCCTTGTCCACACGTACACGGGTATATTTTAAAGCGTACCTTTTTCTATACGTCTTGGGCTTTCGTCCACACGTAAACGGCGTCTCAGGTCACTGAAAGTGGAGCTTTTACAAAACTCCATCCAGGGTGAAGATTTTTTTTGGCGTTGAAATGATAAATGGGCAGGGTTGCCAACTCACATATCCGGCGTGACTCTCACGCTTTCTGACTGTCACGCTCACGCAAGAAGTCTTACGGCAAATCTATAGTATTCCATTATAAACCTAAAATTAGCTGCATTACCAGCATTGGGTTTTTCAGTTTGCAAAACTCTGCAGACTATCTAAAAGGTAATAAAACTGTTACATACATGTAAATGCGTTGGCAACACTGGGTGGGCAGTTGCCGTAATAATAAAGGTATACAATGTAACAGGAATGAAATAAAAAAAATCAAATTATATGTAAAATGTTAGATAGATGTTTGTATATTTTTCTGCTGTTTGCAGTTCTCGTTTCGATTACATTTCCTGTTCGAATAAATCAAGACCTAACAAGTCAATAATTTTTTTAGCCAATCGTACGTCACGTCGTCACCACCACAGTCAGTAGCCGTGAGCATTAGCTGTAGCCGCGTGAATGGAGAGCTTTTAATAGCAGGTTTAGCGGTTTGTTGAAGCTATGTTTGTTTCTAGAACTCCGTTTTACTTCAGAAAATGTCCAGCTTTTCAATATCGTGCTAATTCGATCCCAAAGATCTGGTTGTTTGCGGAAGCCACACAACTACAATGCTATCAACTGCTCCCCGGAGAACCGAAGGCAGGAAGAGCTGGAGGAGGAATCCATACATGCTCCGTTCAGCAGGGCAAAAATTTGCTAAAGAAGTTCGACGTGAAAACCAAGTAAGTTGGCACAACAACCGACATTTTTTAACTAACCGGTTATTTATACAGTATAGGACAGTTCATCCTTGTACCGAGTAGCAAAGTCAAATGCATTTGGTGGTAATATCCTGATATAATGTCGTGTTTATTATTAATGCGCTGTCCACTTGTGTATCTTACTAGTTGGTTAAACAACGTGTATTTAATGTAGTTCACAAGTAAAGCAAATAAGGAACCTTTTTCATCCCTGAAACACACACACACACACAGACTGACAATATCAGTTTCTTATGGTATTAGTTTCCTCAAAGTCTTTTGAATTTCTTCTCCTGGTGATTGCAACTGATCTTGATTGAAATATTTAACTGTTTTTCTATTACAGGAAAAAACTTTGGTACAAAAGCAGTTTTGTTCCCAAACAAGTAAGAATATTTTTTCTCTTTCAAGCCAGATAATCTCCTTCCATTGTAGCATGTTTTGTAAGGCAGTATAACAAACTAACACTTTGCATTGCCTGAGACAGGTGGTACCGTCCACTCATACTGATGGGTTGAATCTGACCACGCAAAGGAAACAGAATCATGGAGAAAGTGCAAGAATAAAGATCCTTAACAACCTTCTGTTCAAGGCTATCAGCGATCTTCTGAGCACGCCTGAAGTCAGCCCTGAAATTTACAACCTGGGATTAGACATTTCTAAAGTAAGATCTTACACTGGGAGAAAGATCAGTCACAGATTTACTTGGGGAAATTGGGTTGTTTTGGTTAATATCTTTAAAGCAAAACAGTCATTCTTGTTTACGTCTGCCTTCTTGTTTAGTTAACAGTATAAAAATATAAAAGGAACAATGTCAAATGACATTTAAACACTTAACATTTATAATTGGAAGATTACAATGAATGGCCATCAAGGCAGTGATTGGTGAAATAACAATTCCCTGAATTACAATTACCGGTATATATAATTTTAAACCTCAGGCCATAATATACTCTCTAAATATTAGATTCAGTATTGTCATTTTTCAAGAAATGGAAATTTTTGCATTAAAACTATCTGATTTACATAGTGATTTTAAATAAATGCTGTATCTCTTTTTGGCGTTTTCAGTCATCATGGTATAGTATGACAAACTGGTATAGTAAAGTAGTAATGTGTAAACAAAAAAAGATGTAACATAGTACTATAATATTCAGCATATTATAATTAAATCGGTGTAAATGATGTGCCTTGCTGTAAGGTCTCACTGGCGGGGGATTACTCCAGCTGCCGTATTTACTGGAGAACAACTGGGACCCATGAAAAGGACAGCCAGATTCAACAAACACTGGACCGATGTGCTCCTCGGATAAGGTAGTGCTGGATATCGTCAGCAGGGGGCTCTCTCCTCTGCTCTCCCTAGTGCTGGTCAAGTTAATTAGAAAACGTAAAGATGCCTGGTTGTTTTTATCCCAGTTTGTCATATATTTTCATGCTAATGTAATTTACACTGATAATCAAATTAACCTTTTCTGAGAAGAATTCCATATAAATTATTACAGTTTACTTGGTATAATTAACCAATTCTGATATAAATCATTTTGAACTTAGACATTGAAATTTGTGGTAGGTATCTTCTCATTTCGCACCAAGTCATGGGCAGCGTTCCTCCGGTGATGTTCATCAAAGACAAAGTGTATGCTGCCATTTCCGAGGTACTGCACATCTTACATAAAAATTATTCTAGAATTGCACATACTGCCTAGATCTGTCGAAGAGGTGTTTGCCTTTCCTGAGATGTTTCACAACTCATTCAAATGAAAGTGTTTTGGATACCGAGACCAGCAGAAGTGCATTTCCACAGAGGATTACTGCTTGTTTCTAGGTTGAAAATCTGCTGAAGATAGCTGACCTCGGTGAAAAATTCACTGAGGAGGAAAAATTTGAACCGAGTATAAAGGATGGGTGAGAATTCTGATTACTTCCATTTTGTTTAGTTTAACTTCTCTTCTCAGACTCATTTTAGATTGCAAATTACATTAATAGGTACTGATAAGACACTGAAGGAACCTTACCTTCTAACATTTGCTTGTTTACACAGAGAATCTGATCAGAGGGGAAAGTTGGGTGTTTCCAAACAGACTAATCTGTTTGGCATTGACCATGAAGCACTGATGAAACAGATACTGGAGCATAAACAGAAGCGGAGAGACTACAAAAACGATGACTGTACTGTGGTATCCACGCAACAGCACCTTGACTTACTGGAGGACCTAAGGAAGCAAAAAATAATTAAGAAGAAGAGACAATTGAAACGTCTCCTTGACAACGACGACATCACACCAGAGGACTACCTGCTGGCCAGGTATAGGCAGGAGGAGGAAAGGGAAGATCAAGAGGATGAGGAATATGGAGATGGAACTACACAGGTCAACGGCTTTATGGAAAAGGAGAGAAGCTCAAAACCCTGGACATGAAAAAAAATGCAGTGTTTTTTTGTTTATTTTGGTGGTCTGGTTCTCTGCTGCTATGCTTGTGTTGCTCATGTTGTTAAGATCATTGTGTATTGCAGATTGATTATGAATAATATGAGTTCCCCAGTAAATGTATGTTCCTGAAGTCCTAGCAAATGATGCACTAGCAGGGCAGAAGTTGATTATATATAATCTAGGGGGGGTTCCCTCCTAGTGATAATTTCTCTATGCTAAACAGAAGCCAAATTGCTGACATCATACAAGTTGAACAATGACCTTATTGCAGCTTCAGCTGTTTACTCAAATCTCAAAAAGCAGTTAACTGGTCTGAAATTCGAACATTATATACTCCTCTTTCAAGGAAAACTGTGGGTTGGCCGATGCAGAACACACACAGACTTGTGCATTGTGAAACAGTGGATTTGGACGTGTTACATAGCGGGTGTCAGTGATACCCAGATAAAGTTCTGGGAACTCGCTTGAGACAAGTCACCCTTTAACACTGTTAACTTCCGTGTTCTGCAGAACAGTGGTGGGGGGTCTGGAGCCTATCCCAGAAGCTAGGGGCACAAGGCAGGGAACGACCCAGGATGGCGTGCCAACCCGCACCCACACCATTCACTCACACAAGGACACCTACGGACAATCTGGCAACTTCAGTTAAACTCCGCATGTTTTTGGACTGTGGGGGGGGGAAACCAGAGTACCCCGGAGAAATCCCCATGACGACACAGGGAGAACCCAGGCAGAAACTTGATCCCAGATCCCAGAGCTGTGAGGCGCCAGTACTAACCACTATACCAGTGTGCTGCCCTGCGTGTGTGACTGTCTAATAGAGAAACAAATCAAGTTGCAGACAAAGGAAATAGTATACATTGAAGGGTTTTTTGTTCAAAAGGTTTTTAATTTAAAAATATGGCAAGAATTTTCCCCTTATCCTCCATTAAGTACAACTACAATATAGAAATATTAAATTAGTTTAACTACAAAATATACAACTGGGACAAGTTCAAATACACCAAAAAGATATAGAATTTGTCTATGAACAGACGTGATTTTATTTTACTTTCCATTATAGTGTCATTGAAGTAGTTACAAATTTAAGTATTTTCATAATCTTATACAAGACCTTATTAGACACAGGCCAGAATACTGCTGTGGTATATTTAGTTTTGCATGTCAACTCTGACTATATACCATATTCCGAACAAAGTTCGCAGATTGTGCGTAACGTTTATGCGTGATTTTCAATATGTAAATTTTTGAAAATTTCAAACAATGCAAGAATTTGTTGCAAGATGTAAGTCTCATATTTTTCTCAATGCTTAATTGACATTTCGGATACTTTTAAGAGTTTCACCTAAGAGAAACATTTTTAGTGGTTTTCCTGATCGTTCAGAACACAAACCAGTAGCTATTGGTAGTAATATTTGTATGCAACTATAAAATGAATCCTAAATAGTTTTTGACAAAGACACCATTCTAAAAACACTTAAAAATGTCAGAAGAAACCATAACCTATTCTTGCATGATTTTGCAACAGGAAAACGAATTAAGTTGTAATAATGCAGTGTGTGGTATAAGGGTCAAAAGTAACATTCTGTGACACAGGACGTAGCTGAAAGTTTCAAACTGAGTATATGCATACCTGGAGATACCTGGAAACAAGTGACACTACTCATGGAAGATTGGGGACAAATCAGGGTCAGGCCTGTCCCCATCCATGGCAAGACCTAGACCGCCTCTACTGTCTGCTCCTCAGCGCGGACAGCCTCCTGGACGTAGACGATGAACTGTGAGGCATCCTCCCCTTGTGTGTACACCGTAACAGTCTCGATGCCCTCCATGTCATCGGAAGACACAACCAAGTGGTGCTCATCCCCCAGCCCAACAGAGGCTTGCTGTAAGGCATCCTGGATCATCACTGTGTGGTTAGTCTGTTGCTCCTCTTCTGCTACCTGCACATGAGTGTGGGATTAGTTCATTAGTCCATCGTTTAACACTGAACATCATGGTGTGTATGTGTGTGCTGGGGGGGATTCCATAATATGGTCGTCTTACCAAGTCGTTCTATGAGGAAGATCAAGGTCTTTTCTCACCTGCTCTACCACTGTAACTGTGCCGGGAGCCATGGCAACAACAGACGCGACGGTACTGTCAGGATTCTCGGAGCCAAGCTCAATGATCTGCTGGAGGATGTTGACTGCTGTGGGGTCCAGGCTTTCGCCTGAGGTGGTGGATACAACAGCTGGAAGGGGAGGCCGGAGGCACAAGGTCAGCACAGTGGACTTGGCATGAGTGCAAAGTAACCAGCAAAAGGCAAATTAACACGTGATAAAAAGGACATTTAAAAAGAGTAACTGCTTTCACCATTGTCTGCGTTGTATCTCAGATCCTGGAGGGCAGATACCGCAGCTTCTGTCCCCTGAAGGTCCTCCGTCTCTGTGATGTGGAGGTACTGAGTAGGGGTCTCCTTCAGTGACTCACCCACCTAGGGAAACACAGACGTGAAGTGTCTCCATTCATAATACAAGCTCTCATGGTCATTTCAACAGGCAGTACCTGACAATGGAGCATGAATATGCAAATACTTTAAGTCGATTGGGATGAAAATGCCATTTAAACAACTAAATTTTAGGTAAATGATTTACACAAATTACAAAATTATCACACAACTTAATGAGAGTAAATGGCAGAATCTCTTACATGTGCTGCAATCAGAGACCAGGCAGCCAGCCTTACCTCCCACTGGTTCACCCCGATGGTGTCATTCTCCACTAGCTTGAGGCCGTGCTTGTTCTTCAGGTGCCTGTTCATCTCCCACTTAGTACCATACACATAGTTACACACTGGGCAGTTCACTCCTCCTGCAAAGAGCAAATACAAAATCAAACTCTCCCTCAAACACTAAAAATTTGGTCAATGCATCAGGTATTTTCTTTCCAGCCCAGATTATTTACATATACAGTATACAACAGTTACACTGTTTCCAGCCCAGCATGTTGATATATATGGTATATAATGGTTATGCTGGTTATCCCACAGTCGAAGAACATGCGCTAGGTGAGCAGCACCTCTGAATCACCCATGGAGTGTGAGTGCGTGCTTGTGTGTGCCTGGCAGTGGACTGGCATGCTGTCAAAGAGGAATCCCAGCCTTGTGCCCCATTGCAGATTGGGACAACCAAATAAAGGCAGGCTGCAAGATGGATGGATGGATGGAAGGAGGGATGGATGATGTATCATCACTGAATATTACTGTGTGTTACTTTATCTTTAGGAATATCTGTTGCATGATCCGTCAGCTATAAATGCTTACCCAGTATACAGTTTCTGGTAAGCCTAGACCAAGGTTCTCCAATTCCAGTCCTGGGGGTCCAGTTTACAGATTTCCCAGCTCAGACACACCTATTAAACTAATTAGCTGATTATGGTGTGTTTGAGCTGGGAAATCTGCAAACTGTATTGGGTTCTGCCCGTCCAGGACCGGAACCGGACAACCGTGGCGTAGGGCCTATACCTGGAAACACAAGGCAAGAGACAGGGGACACTGTATGATATAAATATCCCAGCAGGCCCCTACAGGTGACCTGTGGGGCAAAGATGCTTCACAAAATGGGGCCTATAGTGAAATAGCATAAAGTTATTTCCCTCAGAGAGTTATTTCCTATAAAACCTTTGCCGTTCCTTAGATACATGATTACACCCACACACTAAAACCAGCAGATTTAGGGACAGCTTCTTCCTCACAGCTGCCACCCTGCTGAACTCAGTCCTCCGCTGAACCTTCCTATCCGCACACACCATTAACCCTCTACACTTTGTAGATCTGTTTACTAACATCTGTACATCTGTATATACGTAGCACATCTGTATACTTGTCCATAGTATATCTGTATATTTCTCCTTCTGTATAGCAATATAGAATATCTGTATATCTACTGAACTTATCTGTATTTTACTAATGCTAATTTATCCCCACAATTCACACTGCCCTTATCTGCTCACTTATTTGTACATAATCTGTACATAACTATTCCCACCTCTGTACATATTCTCAACTGTACAAATTGTACATACTGCACTTGCTACTCTCTGCACTTCTGATTAGATGCTAAACTGTATTTCGTTACCCTGTATTTATACATGTGTAATGACAAAGTTGAATCTAATCTAATCTAATGACGATGTAAGAAACACAGTGTTGCAGAAGGGCCTTGACAAACAGCAGCCGCCCCTGATAGGCGCAGTGTCTTTCTCACCCTGCTGTATCACCACGTCCGCGGCCGGCGTCTCAGGTTCCACGTTGCAGTACTGCTCATCGGGGTGCTTTTTGTTGTAGTGTCTCTTCAAGGAGCCCGACATGTTGCAGGAGTAGTGACAATGGGCACAGCGGAAGGGCTGGGCCGAACGGGAAACGGGAAAAGCAACCCCAAAGGAGGCCTGGTCATTTCCAAAGCTTTAAACTCTTACTAGTACGTCAGAGCAGCACTATGCCGTTGCTGTGAGCCGTCTCTCAGGTGCAGACGTTACCTTGAAGGCGGCGTGCTGCTCCATGTGGCGCAGCAGCTGTGGCTGCTGGACAGCCGTGTAGTCGCACTCGGTGCATTTAAACTGCCTTCCTGTGAGGGTCACATGCGGCACGGAGGTGAGTCAGAGGGCGTCAGTGTTTAACATCATTCACAGAAGTTGCAGGGGTTATTAAATAATACACTGACCCCCTATAATCTTTCAAGACCCTTTGTCCCCCCTCGCAGCCGGAGGGGCCGATTCCCCCCCCCCCGTCCCCACTTAGACCCCGAGCGGCCGATCCCCGCCCCCCTGCGGTGCACCCCCTTACACCAGCGTCTCCCAGAAGCACACTGACCGTCCGCCGTATGCATCAGCTTGTGACTCTTGAGGGTGCACTTGGACTTGAACTTCTTGCCGCACATGTCGCAGAGGTGTGTCTTCTCCGTGCTGTGCCGGTTCATGTGCGCTTTCAGGTTACTTTTGCTGCGCGTGGCGTATTCACACAGTAAACATTTGTACGGCTTTATCCCTGCCAAGACAGGTCGAGCGATACAGATTTATTACAGAAACATCAATGCGAAAAAGACTGTTTAACTAGATGTGTGGGGGTTAGGGTGGAGCTATGGCTGGTTGTGAGGTGGGTGTGGTTAGGGTGGAGCTATGGCTGTGTGTGAGGTGGGTGTGGTTAGGGTGGAGCTATGGCTGTGTGTGAGGTGGGTGTGGTTAGGGTGGAGCTATGGCTGTGTGTGAGGT